GGGGGGGTAAGGGAGTGGGAAAGCAGAAAGGAGGGGGATAAGGAGGAGGGGGAAAGAGAGGAATGGAGGTTAATAAAGGGAAGAGAAAGAAGGAATGGGCCACAGAGATGGAGGCTGGCACGTGTCCAGGTTTGGTGGAGTGTGTGTGAAGGAGCAGTAGTGTTTCCGCCCTCAGGCACCAGTGCGGGTAGACGGAGCAGAACGAGCCCTCTGGAATCTTATTTAGGGGAGCAACCTTAGGAAACTTTAGCAACGCAGGGAGCCAGATTTTGTTCACTCTATAAACAAATATTGCAGGGCATAAGGATATAAACCTGATGGTTGTGTGGTTTGAGGCATCACGTCATGTTGATAAGATGAAGACATAAAAGTGACTGCTGGAGACTGTTTCCACGGTGGAATTTATATTGAGTGGTGGTCTGAATGAGAAAAGATGAGATACAAAACCTGTTAGAAACAGAAACAGTATTATTTGACAATAGCATAAGTTCGCATTTTCAGAAATAGGCTACACTACTAGATTAGTGTTCACGTTAAAATACTATAGGAAATGTACGACATTTTAGGAAATACGCTTAAGATTGATACCACTCTCACATGTAAACCAAATATGAAGATTCTGCAGGGAGACGGTTCGCTCAGCCAAGCACAGAGACTAGAAATGGGGAAAATAGCTAGCTTGGTTGTGTCCAAAGGTAACAAAATCCATCTACCAGCACATTTAAAGCTCACTAATTAACATGTTTCATCTTTGTTTAATCTGTACACAAATCAAAATGTAAAAGCAACACGCTGGAGGTTGTGTACCTTCGAAAAGAGTCAGGCTAGCTGTTTCCCCCTGCCTCCAGTCTTGTGCTAAGTGATGTCTTGTGCTTCCATCTCCTAGCTTTTTATTTAACACACAGATGTTACAGTGGTGTCTATTTTCTTATCTTATTCTTGTCAAGAAAGCTTAAAAGCATATTCCTTAAAGGCAAGTGAACAACAATGTGTTTAACAATGTGGTCTTCCTGAAATTAAAAACAAAATTACAAAAAATTGGTGGTGTCCAAGGGTTAGGGTTCAAAAATCACGAATGGGGTATTTGCTGACTTTTTATATGTCATAGAGCAAAATGTGAAAATCTCTTAAGCTTGTTTTAATCACAGACCTTATTTCAGGCATCTAACCAAAAACCCCATTGACAAGTACAAAAATGTTAACTCAGTTCCAGGTTTTAGGACACATTCCTGCAGCACTCTATTAAAAAATGTTACACATGCACTTCCACACATGTACCTTTAAACAAATGGACAAAGGGCTCAGTGTGTACGTGTGTGTTGGACAATAACCGGTGATCTGAAAAGCTGGGTCCACTCAAATTAACGCTGCTGTGGGTCAGGTGAGGCCAGCTCTGTCAGCAGATATCGGATGTGTGAGGGCGAGAGGTGGCATGAAAAGATAAAAAGGGACCAGTTAAAAAACACTGCCCTGGAAAAGTGCTGCTCTGTGGAAAAACTGTGGTACCATTCAGAAATAAGAGTCACAGATAAAGAGAAATGAAAGCAGTGACTCAGGTTAGTTCATTGTTTGCCAACACTTAACACGTATAATAAAAGTTAATTCATATCACTTAAATATGGTAACACAATAATGCATGATTCTTTTAGATTAGTCTTCACGTTTAGCTTTCATGCACATTCAATATATGGATTTTTTTTTTTTTATCAAATCATAATTTCTATTTGTCTTAAGTTGAGCTACTCCCCAATCTTTACACATACCTGTGGCAACTGTAGAAGTATACCCTGGGGTAGGATAAGTACCCCTTGTTGGGAATCACTATATATACTGTATATAAAGTTAACTTTTTTGTTATACTCATGGGTAAAATACTATGTTCAAATTCAAGGGCACTCAATTTTCAGCTCCTTGGTAATATGTCTTTTGTATTAGCTAAGCTGCACAGAACAACATTACATTACACAATCTAATACTACCGTATGACAGCTGGCCTTCTCTGTCCTCTTCTGCCTTTCCCCCAGACACACCAACATCACATCTGTCACCTTTATGCTCTACTCAACCTCATATTGATAGGGTGGGACACCTAGTGAGTATCACACACATACACACACACACACACAAACCAGAGGGGGGACAGTAAATATGCGTTTTGTCGATAGTTGTCCACCACAGCAGAGGCTCAGTAGTAGTAGTATTTTTGCTGACTTCAGGAATCAGTGCTCCACTTTTGCTGAGATAAAGGATTTGGGCCAGTTAAATCTTATCATAGTCTATTATGTGTGTGCGTGTTCATTCATGCAGCAGTACATAAAATGTAACGGTGTGCTCTGTCTTCAGAGGCTGCTGACAGTTGGAAGGTGATCTTATTTTCACCTAATATTACCTTTTTGATGGCAGATGGAGTTCACAAATTTGGGCACATGCACTCGAAAACGCACACACACACACACACACACACACGCGCCTCGAGTGGAACGAAAGCGCATTAGTGCTGTCGACCACATTTCCTCTTTTGTCAGACTGAGGAAGGCTTTCTCGAACACACTACAACAACCAGAATATCCATTAACAGGATTGACCCTGCTTGTGGATTCAACCTTTTTCCACTTCAGATAGATCCACTGAGGAGAGCGAAGGCTTAAAAAGGGTTTAATTGCGTGTGTACTCTCTAACACACACACACACACAAAAGAAAAGAAAGTCTCCATAAATTGTGTGTTCATTTTATCTCACCAATAACGCTGACAAACAATAATCACATTTTAAACAGCACAAATGCCATGTTGTCTGAATGTGTGTTTCTAAGATGGAGCAAACTTACACAAACATTTACAAGATATCACACACATAAACACACTGCTTGAGTGCTGTCTTCTGGTGCTGTTTGATCAAGAAGTTTGAGAAAAGTTCAAAATGTATTTGAGGTCAATCTGATAAAATAATAATACATATCAGTGTCATTAAACCAACTTCTGAAAAGTATAAAAATAATTTCTAACCCCGTCTGAGTCCTTCTGAGTATTGAACACCTCCTTTTATCCAGTACTGTCAAGACTCAGCTGATCCTTTTCATAATATCAGTTATCCCTTCCACAAAAGCAATACAATGATCTCTCTTCCACTAATAGTTCCTCCCCTCTCTTTCTGAGAGTGGTTCAAATATATTTACCGTCAAGTGCAGAACTCCTGCTGTCAGCGTTCACTCCAGTAAGTCCGACCTGACACCATCTGAACTGTATTCTATACAGCACTCACCCTCGGGTACAACATGAAGACAATGAAGAGATTCTGAGCTTGTAAAATGATGGTGATGATGATGACAGTGTGTGCTTGTATATCACCTTTTGTGAGCCTGTGGACAAATTTGCAAATTTATTTGCAGAGATATATGTTTGTGAATGTGAAAAAAAGGTTTGTGCCAACATAAATACTTGGTGGTTGTAGAGACATTTGACATCAAATGAATTTAATTTGGAGTCAATCTTTATTTTTAGATTTTTGTTATCATTATTATTTTAGCTCTCTCTTCTACTACTGTGCAACCCTATGGAATATTTATTTTTTAAATCTTGGGTTCTCCTATATAGATTGAGTACACACTATGATAATGAAATGGATAATTAATTGTGGGGCTCTGTTCTCCCCCCCTTTTTGTGGTTTTTGTTGGTTTTGTTCTTATTTTGTTTTATTGTTGTTGTTTGTTGTTGTATTTTTGATTAATTGTGGGGCTCTTGTACTGCTTATATTGATGCAAAAGAGTAAATAAAAAAAATAAGTAAAAAAAAAGTTTTTTTTAAAAAATTTTTTTTTGGGGAAAAAAAAATTTAAAAATTTTTTTAAAAAAAATTTAAAAAAAAAAAAAAATAAAAAAAATGTAGCTTTTTCCAGTGGTATACATATTGTTCATTGCTTAAAGAATAAGAATGGCATTATTCTGTTTTTATTGTCAACAAATCTGTGGTAGGGTGGTTGGGCATCAGCTGCAGGCAGCGAGAGGGTTGACACACCTTAAGTACTTGGGCTGATTGTTAATTTGCCAATGCAGTATGCAAGTTACATGCACATAAACATCACCCTGAAGCTGGGTCCAGGAGGAGAAACTGAGACACAAACCAGTGAAGGCAGGTGCCAGACACCAGAGGAAAAGAGAAACTGAAATGTGCATGCAAGAGAGGCACAACAGACGAATCCATACCAGCCTGTGAAGTAGCATTGTTTTGGAGTGATAATAAGTTTTGTTGAAATTAAAACCTGTCACAAAATCATATTGAAAGATCAAAACCTGAAATATATGAGTTCATCTCTGCATTCTTCCTGATTTCCCCTGTATGTAAAGCTCTACTCCAAGCCCATTTCTTTCTACTTAAGCCGTACATTTCTAAAGACAGCTCACCGATATATAGTCTCATTCTCTACAAAAGTCCAGTAATATTCTGAAACACTGTCGGTTTTAGCACATTACTCAAAAATAATAACAGTGAATTTGGTGGAGACTACTTTCAGCTGTGGATTGATAGACATTTGATGGACCAGTGAATATGCATGGCAGCAGGAGGGCGTATGTGGGACTGAGTCAAGATTAACTACAGTTGCCTGGTCGTGGTAACAAAGGAACATTTCACACAGTGCACCAGTGTTGCTCACTAATGTGCTTTTAATTGTTTTCAGACAACAATGGATCTTTATGGAACAGAGGAATAAGATATATCTGGCTTTGGCTACACAGGAAATACTTGTTAGTATAGGACCAATTCATTGTGGGTTTTAGTCATTTTATGGGATTTCTGGGCAATGAGAACAACAAAATATAACAGTATAATATAAGCCATATCTATTGAAGCCCTGAACAAAAAGTGAAAAGGGTTTTTAAGTACAGCTGTGAAAAGAGTTTACTGGACTGACCACTGGTGTGGACCTTTAAGTAAAAGAATCCCAGACAAAGTGGGAGTACAAAACTGGGGAACAGGACTGAGGGAACAGCATTAGCCAAACAGTTGAAATCCACAGCATTTTATTCAACATGTAATAGAATACAGTCAGTGTCATATTTATTGTTAATGCTGTATAGAATCTGGTGCTGCTACAATTGTGACGTGATATGGCAAACAAACAAAAGGAGAGAAAATAAAAGAATAACCAAACAAGTGAGAGAAAGACAGAAAGAGGAAGCAAGAGTAGAATACACATTCTTCAAAATAAGACAGAAGTGCATTAAAGATTACAACACTGCTTGGGAGGTGGATGGAGGAGCTGAGATACAAAGCTCTGAAGCAGAAATGGACAGAGCGAGAGGGATGGTGCATTAATATTTTCATGAAGAGAAAAAGTGGATAAGACAAAGTGTCTTTGCTTTGTTACCATAAAGGTTTGAAAAGTGTAGGGAAACACAACAGGATGGCCCATTCATCGTACTGTAGCAACATGAACAATTGGTATTAAGGTATTAAGTGCTGCAGAGGAGAGCAGACATCATGTGTGATGAACCTTTGTGCCTCCATTAGACAGAGCTCCTACTGTTGGTCAGCAGCACAGCCAGTCCAAAATTAAACAAAGATGACAAATTACCAGTATTTTTCACCAGTTTTGTGGTTTGTGGTTGACTTATTAAAAAAAAATAGTGACTGCACCTGTCTCGTATGTTCTTGTATCTTGGCTCCATGACAATGTCACCTAGTTAGAAAAAGTATATCAATACTGCCATGCCTGTGGTGACGGCGGAGCTTGGAAGGAAGCATAGTCTGTCAAAAATAGAAGCCATGCAGTAAAAAGTGTTCCCGTATGATTTGAGGTCCACTGTTGCAAACACAACCAATGTAGCTGGCTGCATTATTAGGCTGGTTTTGTATCAGATCCAACCAACAAAGACTGATCAGAGCCTCTCAATTATACTTTCTATGACAGACGATTATTCAACTGTTTTCTTTCACCTGTCACAGAAATCCTAGAAATCTCCATACCTATGAGAAAAACACAAAATAGTAAATGAAAATATAAATGAAGACATACTGTATTCTGCAAAAACTACCTGGTGCATGTTCTGTTTTATATTCCTGGCAGCGCCCAGTTTGTTTGAAATTAAGAGAAATTGTAAGTATTTAGCAAGAATAGAAAGAACTACTATAGGGTTGGCTATAGTTTAGACTTGGTCAGTTCTGATTTTGCATACTGGGTCTGGTTCTTATCAATTCCTGCGATTGTAAGCAAACTGAGCGAGAAAAGAAAGTGAAAAATGTCAAAGCAAAGCGAGATGTAGGCTGCCATAAACAGTTATTTTTCATAAATAACAAGATATTATGTGATGCTACCATACTGTAATTCAACTAAGTGCCCTCTAATCTCAACAATCAGAAAACAGTAGTACAGGTTTTTCTCATCCACTCTGCTTTGAGCTTTTATGAACTGCAGCTTAGATCCTGTTTAGAAAGAACACACTTTCTCTTACTGCTTCACAATTAAAGCTTTCCACTGACCAGCAAGGCTTTTATTGTGAAGCAGCTATAGCTTCATGTCGCATTAGACACAGATGTCAGCGACGGCTAATTCTGCAGTGCACAAAAATTGGTCTACGTGATATAGACATTTTTCAGTGCAATTTTTTGTCAGCAGATTATTTAAATGACATTTAAATGACAGTCTTGGCCAAGTTAAGAGGTGTGTTGTTCTGTGTTTCAGAGTGTGACTCACTCTGCGTCATCAGCAGTGGGTGTGTTATAGCTTTGGAACAGCGGCTGCATGAAGAGCCCCAGAGTTCCCACCACACACACCAGGATGAAGATCCACAGGAACAGACGGTCTATCACCATGGCTACGTACTTCCAGTCTTCTATGATCTGGAACCAAACCAACAAGTTCAGATTGTTACAGCTTGTTAAGACAGGTAAAATCGTGACTATAAAGTATGTGTGTGTGTAGGAGCAGACCTTCAGGGAAACACCATGTTTTAACTCTTGGGGTCAGAAGAACATAAGCTTTACCCTAACTAGCAGTACATTGCAAGATCATGTATGATCATGTATGTAGCCATTAAGTGTGTATTTAAAGGTCCAGTGTGTAGCATTCAGTGGCATCTAGCAGTTTAGTTGACACTCCATCTCTTCACCCTGTCCTTGCAAGCGCAAAGGAGAAAGTACAGTGTCCACGAAATTCGTGAAAAATGTCCCTATCTTAGAGTCAGTGTTTGGTTTGACCCTTCTGGGCTACTGTGAAATATGCTGGTTCAGCATGGTGGACTCCATGGAAGTCAACCCATGGTGTCTGTACAAAACGGCTCATTCTGAGGTAACAAAAACACAATGATTCCTATATTCAAGAGATTATATTCTGCCAATAGATCCTCCTAAATGTTACACACTAGACCTTTAAGACCCCTGGAACTGAAGTCAATAAAGTCAGCCGTTGACAGGGTTTCTAACCAACTCAGAGCTAAATAAGCTAACATTAGACTAACTAGGGACTGGGCTTAGAGAACTGTCAATTGCACTTGTCAGAAAGGGTATTACTAAACACAAGCTATGTTTGATGAAGTGCTGCGTTTGCCATGAAGCGTCTAGGACACCAAATGCATATCAGGGTGTAATTTTAACTGCACTGCAGTCAGGAGTGCCAAGCGGAACAGAGGCAGCCTAATGAAAAATCTGCCATGAGCAATTACAGCTGAAGAACTTGTTTGTAGTATTTATATATTAAGTGTGGAAGTTTTCTGGAAGTTTAGAATCCCAGGGCCATGAATCTGGGGTTAGGGATGGTGCTGAGTTCAGCCAGTTTGTGTTTGTAGTGTTGCAAGGTTTTATGAGGATATCTTGTGTTTTCAGAAAAAATAGATGACTGACAGGTTTGAATAATGTCACAGAAGGACAAAAGCAAATACTGAATGAACTAATACACGGCATGTTCCATTTCTCATCTGGCCCTGATAACCTTTTCATTTCCTGTGCAAATCTCCTCATTCTTCGTGCTTGTCATCGCCCATCTCCATAATCTGCTTTTATAGGTCTTTACTTCCCTCATTCTGCCTCTACAATAAAATATGCTGTCTTCCCCTTCTTTTATCCTTTGATCCAATCTTTTTAACCACGGCTTTGTCTCCGGCTTTATCTCCTTACCCCTTCATCGACGTCTTCGGTCTTCATGTGTTCAGCGATGTACCTCACTCCATCCACTGCCTCCTCCAGATCTGCATCCCACTGAACAGCCAAACGCCTCCGCAAACCTGAAAACCCGCCACCCCCATCTGGGATGTCGCCCACCTTCCAGCAAAACTTGTGTGCCAAGTCCTCATTCACGTAGAAAGAGTCGGTGTCCGTTCGGATCCCACCAAGTCTGATGTTGGAGTACTGCTTCTTCTCTAAGCCACTCTGGGAATTGCTTTTCCCAACCGTGCCCCGGTTGGCGTACTTCCGGCGGAGCTTATCGCGGACATTGGAAGAGCCTGGACGCCTCATGAGGAGGAAGGTGGGCAGGCGGACTAAGAAGAGGCGTTTGACCCAGTCAGGCATGTGGTGGGTGGATGGCGAACGGTGGTGCACATTGAGGACACAGACGCTGCTCACAGTGGAGAAAGTGACCAGCACCATGGTGAACATCAAGTATTTACCTTAGGGAGAGTGACAGACAGAGATAGCAAAGAAAAGTAATATAATATTGCTGCTGCCTTTAATCACACTGCTCTCATTTTGCCTTTGTTATTCAGTATTCTCAAATAATAACTGGTAGCATCTACAAAATGGACAGTTGTATGACATAAGTCTCAAATAAAGGCCCCGTATGGCTCACGTTTTTGAAGTTGTATATTTCCACATCACTAATTCAGCCAGTACAACACAATCATTTTGGACACAGAGTTTTAGCTCTGAGGTTTCAAATTTACCAGAAATACTGCTTTAACTTACTGAGCAATGCAAATGGCTTCTACTTTGCTGTACTTTTGATTGCTGTTGAGGGGCTGTCAATAATAGTCAGCAATTCCAACATGTTTCATATTGCTGAATACTACTTGAGGCTGTTGTACCTGGAATTATTTCTGTGGATTCATTCTGAATTTATCAAGAAAACAGGTAAACATGGAGGCGGCGTTGAGTTTGCATTAACAACAAATAGCATTAATAGCCATTTAAAATGGGAGCCAATCAGAAAATTAGAAAAGTTCTTGCTAATTTATGGCAATATGTATATACAAATGCAAAAATGTAGCGGTAAAGGTCTGTCTCTAAAATAAGCCTTTTGATGATGAAGACTCCAGGATACCACTGCACCCAGTCAAAATATAGTCCAGCACAAAATGGCACATAAAAATCACAACTTTACACTTCGGTTGTTGTAAGATTACACAGATGAGCTATAACGTGCTGGTCGGAGGACTTTGTTACCTTTGGACGTTGCCAGGCAAGCTATTTCCCACTATTTCCAGTCTCTGTACTCACCTAACTGGCTGAACAAACATGATTTATGTCTATGTATTGAGTGTATATTGACTTTCTCATCTAACTTCTCATCTAACTCCCAGCCATAGAGCAAATAAGCTTATTATATCGATCTATTCATACAAACATAAATACAGCTGAAAAATGTTGAAAATCCTTTGGACTTAAAAAGAAATTATGGAAGAAACTAAATGTGATAATTAATCTAAAGTCATAATAACAGATAAACAATCTTAATTGGCTGAAGGATATGTTTATTTAGTTTGGTTCTGGTTGACCATAGTCTTAAAAAGCATCTTCAATAAAGACAATTAAAAGTAACCGATAATTAAAATGATCATGAGATCTCGATATACCAGTAGTTAAGATTTGGCCATGGGTTTTTCCTTTTTAATTTATTCCTAATAATGCATGACTCATCTGTAGGTAATGGTTCACGTCCCCAATTTTCTCAAGGCTACACACACAGTTGCACAGAACACATATAAATATTACTGACCTATGAGTGGCACTGCGAGAGAGGTGGGTGGGACTATCTTTGATATCAGCAGCAGGAACACAGTGAGCGCAAGCAGCACTGAGATACACAGCGTCATCTTCTCCCCGCAATCTGACGGCAGGTAGAACACCAGGATAGCCAGCGACGTGATCAACACGCATGGGATGATCAGATTAATGGTGTAAAACAGCGGCTTCCTCTGGATCACAAAATCATAGGTGATATCCAGGTAGGTGATGTCATTGGGGTCCTCGTTTTTGCGTGCTGGGAGCGAGACGATGTCCCACTCTCCGCTTGGCGTGAAGTCATCACGGCTGGCAAAGTCACTCGTGAGGATGAGATCAACTTCTGTGTGGTCGTAGGTCCAGGAGCGGAACTTGAGAGTGCAGTTCTGCTGGTCGAAGGGGAAGTTCTGCACCTCGATGGCGCAGGCCGACTTGTAGATGGCCGGGGGAAGCCAGAAGATGTCTCCTGTGTTGGAGACCACAGCATTGCAATAGAAGGAAACCTCGTACACGCCATCAGCACTGTGAGAGGTCGTGGGTGAGAGGTTGTGGGTGTAAGATTAGCGAGAGTATGGATTCAGAGTCTACAATTACAATCAACACTTAAATAAGACTTATTTCAAGTCAGTGAACTCTTGAAGAAGCGCTGTTGACCTTCACTGCGATGATAATAATCAGACAAACCCAAACTCTCCCTGATGATTGGCTGGAAGTGAATTTAAAACCAGACATCGATTAAGCACATATTAATCTCTTTCACATTAAAAAAAAATGGGCTTGGAGGAGAGAGAATGCATACGATTTTAATTACCAAATCCCCATGGAAACACATGCTTATTTTAGCAGGAGCTTTTCTGCTTGAGATGTCTTGATGGTAATCTTGGAAAACCTCTTAGTACAGTAGAATGATATACTGTAACTCCATTAATACCATACTGTAATCCACCACACACATATACACACAGACTAAATTTTGTTGTGTTTTTTGTCACTACACTGACTTTAGAATATTATAACAGAACAAGATCACCTAAATCAAATGCTAACAAACTGGTCCTCTGTTTGGTGGGATGCCATGCACATACTTACTTGTTGTAGAGCACTATATCAGGTAGCCAGATGTGTTTGGATGGTATACGTAGTTTCTTGATGCCTTCATACTTTTCTGGGTCCCATCTCAGCCTATAGTCGTTCCACTCCTGCAGAGTATTTATAAACTCACAAACACACCCACATACTGTACATAATGTATATTGAACACTATATGTGCATTGGGTAGATACAAAGATTGTGTTGTACCTGACACAGCCACAAGTTGGTCGTCATTATCTGTTCTCGCTCATTCTGCAAGGAAACAATAGTCAGCTTGTCATACAATGAGCATCTTTTCCATAATGTTTCACTTTACAATATAAATGGTTTAATTGTTATAATGCTGTCTACTGTGGTTTTAACACACAAAAAGTCAACCCCAAATATCAAAGCAAAGAGAGCAAATGCAATAACATAAATATTTTGGGGCAAAATAACACCCCTTCCAACACCTTCACAAATGTCAGAAAGGCAGACTTAATTTAAGTTAAAGAATATAAACACACGATAGAATTTAGATGATTTTTTTATGTGAAATATGTCAGACTGAATGCCACCCAAGGCGTCCAAGTAGGATCTGGTTGTGACAGGACGATAAAGCATGTGTTAGCATGTGTGATTGTTGAAACCTATACGTTATGGGCTAGCTGTAGATATTAAATATGTTCAAAATGTTGGCTGGTTCTTTGTTAAACCACTGCGTGTCCTTTTTATACTTCCATTTGCTAAAGGACCAGAGTAAGATTTAGTGGCATCTTTAAAAGATTGCAACCAACTCGCCACATCCTTTCCTTCTTAGCATGTAGGACAAGCAGTGGCTGTCCTATTTAGAGCTAATGTTTGTCTGTTCTGGGGTACTGTAGAAACATGCCGGTTCAATATGGCAGCCCCCATTGTAATGAATTTTTGCAGAGATTGGCTGAGTAAGGGAAAGCAAAGTAAAAGACAATGTGACTAAATATATCTATATATCTATAGCGTAAAAAATCTATATCCAATCATGTTTAGAAACCATTATGAGATGAAGACTTAGTGACTGAGATGTGATGGATGTTTCAAACAAATGTGCGTTAGCTCAGAGTGTTTACTGCACACATTGAGATAACAGTTCATTCAATATTCCAAAAACGTAGATAATCCAGAAACGGATTATTTTTAAAAACCAAATGTCCAAAATTATCCATCTATTTAATAAGTTGCTTATCCTACTTGTATTGAGCATGAGGTGGTGCAGATCCAGCCGTGGTCCCCTGTCTATCACAGGACTAACTCAACGAGACAGACAGACAGATTCAGACTAAATCAGACCTCCAGGCAATTTAAAAGCTGCCTGATCACCTAACCAGCATGTCTTTGGACTCTGGCAGTATGATGCATTATCATAAAGATTTCATTATAACACATATAATAATGTCATATTTATTTAGTGCTGTTGTAATATTTATGTGGCTGCATCATTTATGTTTCACCTAAGGGAGGGACTAGTTAATAAACTTAAGCAGTTATAAAGTTACCACACAGTAATTATAAAAGATTACTTTAAGCAGTTAGACCCCTTGGTTACAGATTTTTATAAACAAGACTTTGAACTTTGCTGATAGAGTAGGGGGCTAGGAGACCAAAGACTGTACAGACTGAAGGACCTGCACTCAAACACAGGTGTTTTCAATTACTCTGGCTGATTAGACCTCTAATCTGGTTAAAACGGTCCATTTTCACAACAGACATTGTGACAAGTCACAACAGAAAAAGCACAGGTGTAAATAATAAAATCATTGATGCTGCTTCAGATTAAGGCTCCTGATATTTTGAATGTTGGCTCACTGTCTCACCATCACAGCTTACTGGGCCATTATTGTTGTTACATTAGTAACACCTGAGATTTTCCTGCTATGACAAATTAAAATGTCTGCTGTGAAAAAGGCCTGTTGAGTGGAGCAGTGGAGGTTTGGTGACATTAATGCCTGACTGACATCCTCTTTTGACTAATAACAATAATTTTCAGGATGTGCAAAATATGTTTTAATACATTCTACAGTTGGATGTTTGAGCTTCACTGGTTTCAATATGGCGGTCTCCATGGAAGGCAACCAGCTGCGTTAATAAAAATGGATCAGTCTAAATGTTAGACACTGGACCTTTTAAAAATCTGATTTTCAATGAGCACAGAGAAACTTTCATCACATGAATGTGAAAACATCCTAGTGTCAAACTCGGCACATACATCATTCTGCACAGTGAAACTCCAACATCCAACTGTATGAACAAGAAGAAAAACACATTTTGCAGTGGAGGGGGACTTACTACATGTCACAAGTTTGTTATCAGTGTGTACAGAGCTGTGAGGCATTTCTTTCACAGCAAAGTGCAAAGTAGGCAGCCTGCATGTAAATAAAGACTCAGTCTCCGAAAAGAAATTTAAAAAGCAGTGTGTGTAAGCTTTATAAGATATGAATCCAAGCTGTCAGGTCCAGGTGACAAAAGAAAACAAGCAAAGGTATAATTTATTCATTGTGACCAAGCTGGGGAAAAATATATGACGATATATCAAAAGGGGTTTTGGTTATATGTCCATAAAGATTTTGTCACAGTCAGGATGTCGCTGTTATCAAATATGCAAAGTAGGAATAATTAGTATTTGTGTGTGTACAAAGGTGTGTTTTTGTATATAAATGTACTTACTACACTGATGAGCTGAGACAGAGACACCTGTATGGAGATGGTGACCTGCTGGCTCTTATTGACAGCTGGTCTGATGAGTTTGTTGTAGCGCTCTGGACCCAACAGGTAGTTCACCAGCCGTTCCTCTGCATTCTCTGCCCTGCTGCCTACAGACAATTCAGAACACAGAAAGTAGAAAAACATTACACAGTGACAACTCAAGGGTGCTCCATTTAAAATCTTTATAACACAGATATACTTGTACATGTACATGTGCATGTAGTTTCTGCTTGAAACAAGTAAAGTATTTGTCTATTAATAAACCATAAACTCTGTTAGTAGGGATAGTGACTCCCTTTCATTGTAGCACTGAATAGAAAAATGTCAACACATTGTGTGTGTGTGTGTGTGTGTGTGTGTGTGTGTGTGTGTGTGTGTGTGTGTGTGTGTGTGTGTGTGTGTGTGTGTGTGTGTGTAGCACTTTCAAGCGTGATATTCTCTCTGTCACTGTATGTTTGCAGTCAAGTGTCATCATGGATGATGAACAATAAACAAGCTGGCTGTAAATGAAATAAAATTACCAAAGGGCAACCAGGCTGAATCACGTGTTCTCTTTAAAATATGTGTGTGTACGGGTGTGCGTCAGTCTCACGCGTTACTGCAGGGTTTTAGACCAAAAGAACAAACAAAAATCCAGTCATGCATCCATCACTGTGAGAGGATCCCTGAAGCTTTGTGTTTCCTCAGCCCTAAATTATTGGTTATGTAAAAGTGATCGTATGAATAAGTCAGAAGCAAAATGCTTTCGACCCACTCTCCTGACTTCCACAGCCATTATGTCTAAGTTGTCAAACAAAGTGACAACAGCGTAGAAAGCATTTAATATCTGGAATACTTCAACCCCTCTGTGCCACTGCTTTTGTAAGATTACATGCAGGGAAGGCTGAGTGAGCGCCCTGCTGTTTCAAGTTTTTATGTCACAGTGAATGCCAATGTTTTCAAAAGCAAGAGAGGAAAGGGAATCTATCTGAACGTAATGGAACTTAAGTTGACTTTACCTTCAGAGGATAAATGGTATTTATTCAAAGGTAATGAAAATATATGGGAAATTACATTCACAAAAGTTCAACAATTTGGGGAACACACTCTGTAACAATGTCAGACTCACACTGGACAGTAAAAGGTTCTGTATGTAACTTTCAGAAAACCATTCACGCTCACACGCATACACAGGCCCGAGCGAGCCTGAGGGCTTCATCCATTGACCATAAGTGACTGAACGCTGGAAAATAAATCACAGTAATATGTAGAACAATGCTACTGAGTGCTAAACTGCAACTAATGCCAGACACACATTATTGTTGGTTTAAATCAACATAATTTATCACAACACATACGCCGGTATCATGGATCACATTAGCAGGGCAAGTCACTAATATTAGCTAACTAACAAGTTAGCTAATATTAGCTTGCAAAATATAAAAAAATATCCACTTAGATAGTATTTTGCTAGCAATAATGTTAGCAAGCAAGCAGGCTATGGTTAGCCAGTCAGCTGCAAGCCAGCCACGAAGGACGCTATCCGGCGCCATCTTCCCCACAACGGACAGACAGCCAGATCTGCCCTGGGCGTCTAAATGAAGTTAGCTGACAGTAGTTTGCTACGTTAGCCAGCTAACAATTTGTCCACATTAGCAAGCAAGCTAATGTTAGCCAGCTAAAGCCACAATATCCCGTGGTATCCCACAAGCTTTGCAGTAATGTTAGCTTTGGCCTTGGATATAGACTGTGTTGTGGTTGTTTGTGGATGTTAGTGGACTCCAGTTATAAGCTGACATTAGCTGGTTGACACTGTCGTGAAGCAGAGAGAGCAGGTACACAGGAACGCACGTGAACATCATATCCTTTGCTGAAAATCCGACTGTAAACCTACATAGAAACACATATAAATCAGTCCACAGGTAAGAATGTCAAGGAAGGTCTCATTTAAGCTATGTTACAACCCATTTACTTATTGGCAATAAAAGGTGATTCATAATTTAAAAAATAATACATAAAAGGACTCTTCTTACGTATCAAAATTGATGCAGCAAAATCTGTGATATTATCTCTTTAATTCCAAGGATTCTTCTTCCTTGTCAAAACATAGCGTACATTACCAACAATGCATCCTGACTCCCTTAAGATTCAGGTGTGTTATGCTTGTAGTGGCTAATGTAGCGTCAAGCCGCCATTTCAAGCAGAGATGAGGAGCGTGCTGCAGAGGTCGGGTGAGCTCACTTCTTTCTAACTCCACATCCTCCGATTTTTTTCATTGTCAGACTTGTTTTTACATAATTTTATGCAGCAATCTTCCCCAAGACCTGAACACAGACTTGATTGTATTGTATGGGCTTTTTGGAATGGATAGAGTACCTTTAGCCTCTACCTTTAGGAAAAGGGACAGAAAAGGAGGAAGAAGCTCTCGTATTACCGTGTAAGTCCGGGGTATGTGGACTGTGAAATAAAGCAGTCCCTTGTCCACTCCTTTCACATCATAAGTGCAGTGTTCCAGTTGGTAAGTATTTACACTGAGTTTGCAGGCTGTATTATTTATGTCTGAATGCAACGTGGAATGTTAGATCCATTATGATTATTGCGTATCATGTTAGAACTAGTTTTATTTTTTATTTTTTTCTCTGTGCTTCAGTGACTGATGCTGGGATTGAGGACTGGTAGCAAACATCATTGCGTAGTACAAGGTCTGGCCAAGTCTTCAGGCCTTCAGGGAGATGCAAACACTCATAACAACATGGTGGAAGACACAGCGAAGTGCTGCATGCCTTCTTGGCGTATTACATCATTTAAATAATTTAAACCTGGATTTCAGGGTATCTTTGCCTTGATGGATGTTACAGAATAGTCCTTGAATATATTACTTGTCATAGCTGGTCTTTGTCAGAGTCCAGTTGTTTTTGTAGAGCAGATATGAACAATAATGGCTCAGATTTTTTTTTGTATTGTTGTTTTTTAAAGTCTAGCTTACAAACTAAAGCTAAAGCCTATAGCCTTCAAGTTAATACAATTTCATGGAGAAAGGATGCAAAAAGTCAACACTCCACAAAGAAAAATTAAATCAAGGTCATGTTAATAAAAGGAAGCTCTTTTTTAGGACAGTGGCGGAGACATCCAAGTGTTCTGCATAAAAGACAGGAGACGTTCTTGGCGGTAGGTATAAAACAACCCTCTGTAAATTATTCAAAGAGCCCATCTGCTTTTACTTACAAGTATTTTAAGAGTATGAAAACTGCACACATTTTTTAAAACCCTGTCTTTGTGGCAAAAGTTGCTGCAAGGAGTGTTTTGGCTGCTTTTAATCCAAAGAACTCAAAGACACAACGCATACACAGGGGTCCTCTGAGTTTTTGTCTCTTTCTTTAGTAATAAAGGACTCGGATTTATCATCAAACCCTTCCACAATAATGTAAATCAGATGGCACAGAATACAAATATTGGTAAGACAGGTTGTCTATTACCAGTGTTTTTTTAGGCAACATTAACTAAAACACACACACACACACACACACACACACACACACACACAATGCTACTTATAGAAACAATATGATAAAAGAGTACAAAGCATATAAGTTACACTCAGGGCCTTAGAGACACAGAGGTAATGTCCTCAATATTCTTTCTAGAAATTCAGTTAAATGCTACAAATATGCAAAAACTACATACAATAGCTTATTGAATGCTGATTGCGGTCAGCAGATTTGGCTGTTTCTGTCAAGTAATCAAGTAAATATAATTTCAATAAAAGAATTGTTTTTCCACAATGCTGAAGACAAATGTATTCGCCTTTTCTGATAACTACAGTCAGAATTTGTAAAAGAGGTTGTTTTCCCTGGGAGAGCTTTATATGAACCATTTGAAAGTCCAGATCTAGCTACACTGATATACAATGGAATGACACAATGCCTCTTTGGTAGTTCTAAAGTAAATAGAGGACATGAAGTTAGCACTGGTTTCCCAGGATTGGGTTGTGATTGGGGCAGATTTCCTTTAATCCTTGTAAAATATTATAAAAGAATGTTTCAAGTACTGAAACATTTTAAAACATACTATAGGCAACCTTGAACGCCCCTGTTTATTATAAGAAACATAAGTTACAGCAGTTAGTGTAAAAATGAAATGACTCATGTAAGAGGACATGGCCTGTCATGCCAAATAAGGCAGCTGTTTGTTCAGCCTGTCTGCTTGAAGATTTCTCCCAATAGGACTGAATTAACCAGCAGAAGCATGGGAGTCAATATCAAAATCTTTAGTGCCACCTGGAATGGGCATGATCATCTACAGGACACTAGATTGATTCATCTTTAGGTAACTTCTTCAGTGTGTGTGTGTGTGTGTGTGTGTGTGTGTGTGTGTGTGTGTGTGTGTGTGTGTGTGTTTGTGTGTGTGTGTGTTTTGTGTGTGGAGAGAGAGAGAGAGAGAGAGAGAGAGAGAGAGAGAGAGAGAGAGAGTGTGTGTGTTCATTTATTATCTTCATCTTTTCAAAGATATTTGCATGATAATGAAGTTGTGTGTATATCAGCACTTATACAACAGCGTCTTAAATAACTGTGAGCCCTGAGAAAACACTGTTCAAACAACATCCAAACAACAGTTTTTGCATATGAAGTTCTCATTTAAACACACACTCACACTTTGAGATATTCAAACAATATAAAAGAACTCACTTGTGAGAGAGAGGATGGAGAGCAGGAGAACAGTGTTGGTAGTCATCTCTTCTCGGCTTCCCTGGACAAACTTGTTACTTACTTGTATTGCCTTCCAAAAGAAGAAGAAGAAGAAGAAGAAGAAGAAGTGCCTTGAATGTGAATAGCGGAACAATTCAGTGTTTATATTCCGTCGTGATGTAGTAAGTCTTCTTTCTTACATCTCCCTTCTTTCCTCTGCGCCGGTCGCCACACACCTGCTCCGGCTGCTGGTCTGTTGTTGCAATGACTGAGCAGCGCAAAAAGACACAGCGAACTTGGGCTACTAAACTAAACAGATCATTTGTTGAAAACGTTTATTTAACAGAGACAACATGTTAGCCCTGTGTTTCACAGTCAGGAGCTGGGCTGCCCGTTGTGCGCCCCCGCTTAGCCACAAAGCAGCCACGGAGACATTTGAACCGCTCTCGATCCAACCCGATCCAGATTTAGGGAGTGTAAGGTTGTTGTTGTTGTTGTTGTTGTTGTTGTTGTTGTCCCACAAAAAAAAAAATCCTCATTTAGGTTCTTCTTCTATGAGTTGATGCACCATTGCTGACTTGCATTAAGTTAAGCTCTCTTCTGACGAAGCGCAGGCAAGTTCTAGTGCGTTAAGACACTGGTGCAGTTGCTGTAGGTGCAAGGCGCACAGACATCGGTTCCTCGGGGTAACTACTTGCAGTTAAAGTCAATCATTTTCCATGAAAGTCCGTGTTGCCCGGAGGAGAAAGGCATGAGGAGGAGAGCAGCAAGAGGGAGAGGGGAGGAAGGGGGAGGCTCCTGCAGCTTCGGACCGGAGTGGAAAAGATTCACGTCACGGCTTGAAGTGATGTTCAGCTGCCCTAGATGGCCTCTGTTCTGCCCTCGGTGCTTTGGTAGCCTCTGTTCTGCCCTCGGTGCTTTGGTAGCCTACTTTTAATGGCACAAAGTGAACCCAAACTTGAACAGTGCAGAGAAGAAAAGGCACAAGAGGACACAGCAGGTGAATGAACCCAGAAACTCAAGGAGTTTGTTCACCTATTGATCTGTTTGTAATTTACAGAGGCACAGGTTATTTTAAGATGATTGTGTCAGCACAGGTTTACTCGGAGTGAGCCGTCTGAAGCGCTATGATCACTATAATATGATTTGAAATGGCATAAGCAGACAGCCATAGAGTGCCAGCTGTGAGCAGATGTTGTCATAATGAGTGGATGGGGGGGTGGGGAGAGGATTTTTTTCTCCCCCCTTTGGTCAAGAAATCTCAGTGAAAAAGCCAACCTAAAGCTGTTGTTGCAGAAAAAAAAAGACAAGAACACCATGCAGAGCTACTTCTTTCAGGTCCGCCTTCACAAAGCAGTGCAATTTCCTTTAAGTGGAATATCTGGCTGATGCTCCATACCAACATCATTCCCTGCCAAAGTGTCACTAAGCAAGAGATCAAAATCCGCTCCACACACACTGCTCACTCACTCTAAACTTCTATTGGATTGTATCTGGAAAGATTATAAAGATCCCCTCCAGACATGAATGACATATAAAATACTCTGCTTTGTATAATAATATAGTCTGATTCCTCAAACAAGTTCAATTACCTCCTTACATATTTCTTATCCCTACCCTCAGTGGAAAATCTATTAACAGTCTATTAACATACAAATATTTTTATTTTTTAAGTTTAGTCGTTGGAAGATGGCTCTTCTATTTCACTGAAAAGTCTATTCTCATTTGGTGTGTACTGGAGGTTTTGAAGTTTCCACTTGGCACATGGAGGTTTAAGGGGGCACAGATAAACATTCCCTTTTCAGCAGATGAGTATGAAAACAGCCATCCAGTGTTGAACTCTGACCATACATCATCTTTTACAGTGAAGGTCAAACATCACAGTAAGCAAAACACATTCTGAGCAGAGAGGGACACTGTGAATAGTAGAAATTGCAGTAAACACAGATTGCTGTATTTAATCACCATCAGCAGGCATTCTGAATCTCTAATGTCTGAAGAATAACTAGTAATCTTCTATCATTGATAGAGTAAAAAACCATTCATTATTTTATTATTATTATTTTGAAACTTACTGTATGTTTTCTGTTAAGAGGCAGTTCATCTTACTGCCCTACATCATCTATCACAGAGCCACGATTTTTAAAAGTTGGACGGGGTGCATAGGGTTACGAGTTACCATCACACTAAAAGGAGAGGCATGTCGCAGTCCACTCAGCTGCAGAAGTCACAGTGAAAGCAGAGAAAGGCCTGGGTGTGAAAGCAATAAAGAGGAGAAAACATGAAACGACTGTGCCTCTTTTAGACATCTCTGCTTGTTGCACATGAATAAACCATTACAGATTCAGTGGCTAACACTCGCAAGCATGGATTCCTCTTGGCCAGAGGGATTAAGAGGTTCCTTTTCTTTTTTTCTTTTCTTTTTTTTTTTTTTTGTTGTTTGTTATTTATTATACAATGCAATAAAACATACTATACACAAGCAGGACATATAAAAAAAATCACACACACACACACACACACACACACACACACCAAAAAATAATCTCCTAAAACCGAAATAATGATGTGAAAACAAAAACTAACAAGAGATTTACTCCAGTGCCATTAATAACGGGTTTAGCATGTGCATAAATCCCTCACAGTCCAGGCCATATAACTAACATATTACTCCCTTACACGGCCCACTGGAGATTTCAATCTGCCATAATGGAAGTGTGTGTCTGCTTTAGCCAAGTTAACTGACACGAGCGAGCCACAGCTTACGGCAATTCATAACACCCTCCCTCTCTGACTCTGCTGCTCCATCACTACCTTTCTCTCTCATACAGGCAGGTTCAGGCTGCTTAATAAGAGTGCCAAGATGATACCTGTCATATTTATATATTTATAGTCAGGACACACTGTGTTTGCAGGGACCAATATATCAACGCATTACACAGAGGAGTTACACTGTTAGAGTGCTATACTTGTTTGGTTTTAATCTTTATTTATCCAGATAAGGTCTGCTGAGTGGACATGTTGGGAATATTGCTGAGTCTGCAGCAGCCTCCCTTCCCATTCATAAACACACTCACACTCACACACACACACACACACACACACACACACACACACACACACACACACACACACACACACACACACATACCTGTGTGATGGTGCCAGTGTTAGCCATTGAACAGCTACAGTGGGGGACCGTCATTCTCTCAGAAAAACTGAGAGACCAGCTGGGTCAGCAGCAGCCTTGTCACAGACTGAATTTTTACATTTGTTTGGTTTTTCTAATTTACAGTTTCATTTGGACGAGATGACCTTGGATACGTAAACCTCCCATTAGGTCCAAACTCACCACACATACAGAAATACAAGACTCAAAAATGGCAAGGTTGGAGAAAGAAAAATTAAAAAACTAAAATATCTCGATATGCAAATTTGTTAGGTCTGATATCCAATCACAATGTGAGGCTAACCGCTTCCAAATATGGTCTGTCTGATCCGATCCCCCAATACATTCTGCATGCTTTTACTGGCATTAACATGCATTTATCCAGATACAGATTGAATTTTAATGCCAAATGTAAATGAGGTATATGACATCATCAGGGGTTAGTCTCTCAAGTTCCTCCTTCACCAGCTGACTACTCATGAACAGTAAGTTGACCTTTATGTGTACAAAGACTGTCCCCTATTGTCAATCAAAAAGAGCTCTTCTTGCAGAGAGCATGAGCTTGCTGGTGGGCAGAGAATGAAATATGCAGCTCAATCAGAGGAGTGGGTGGGGTTGAGGGTGGATCTGATGCATGAGTATAGAAATAAAGCTGACAGCAAGGTGACAGGGAAAAACCAAGTCTGTGCATCAAAGTGTGACATGTAACAATGAGCCAGTAGACTCATACGAGTCATATGGGGAAATGTTGCAGACCAGAAACAACTGTTAGGCACTGGATGATGGTTTTCTACTTGAAAAGATCTTGGAAAGAAGTCACTATGGGTTCACGAGTGCTATATATATAAAGGTTGTGTTCAGGGCAGGCTGTTGTGGGGGAAAGAGTCACTCCATCTTCCTGAGAGTGAATCAGAGCTAGAGGTGTACAAGATATGTACACATCAGCCTGAGGGCTAGATTCTGGGGAAGAAGAGTAGATTTGAGTCTAAGTATCATAGTAATGGTAGGTGTGTGATAGGTTAAGTTAACTGGAGGGAGAAGCAGATAGAGTCCAGGACTGAAGCCTACAGGAGTCCAGTGCTCTAGTCCACATACCTGATAAGCATAGTCATACAGATTCAAACATCAGACCCAAGGACATGAGTTCACTAAATCTGCATTCTGCCAATCTGGGTATTATTTATGGTATAGTTGCAGGCCTATGCCCTACATTCAATTCTGCATTTCCAACTATTCACATCCCTGCTCTTTGAACTCATTTAAAAGATATAAGCAAAATAACAAATACTTGGACCCATATGCCGATATTATATTAATGTGTTACATCTTGTAGCAACAGGTGTAGCAGGACACTATCAGTACTGTAATTGCACAAGTCCAGGGAAAGGGCACTGACGTAGACATGCACACTTGTACACAGGAGGGAAACAGGATGTCACAGTCATCAAAACCCCAGAGCTTTTACCCTGCAGTTAGAGTTCTTCCTGTGCTCGTACATCATCACATTAACCTAGTGTGAGTGCATCCAAAATGTGGCTTCTTATGCAACATGTGCGTGTGTGTGACTCTCTGTGACTGTTTTTGCAGAAGTGCCAATTATAGTTTCATAACTGGAAAATACATTTCTTTAAAATATCTTAACACTCATATATATACATATAAAATTATATAAATCGTATATAAGCAAGGCAATATGCTGATCATACTACATTTATTTTATTTATTATTTTATTTAATTTACAGTGTATATTATGTATAGAACAGTTTCCTGTTCACTCAACATTGATCCCGCAGATAAAAAAGAATTTCTTTCTGCGGAGATGTACATGCTTTTAACTTAACTGAATGACAAAATGTAAATTTGCATCCGATGATCTACAGCTATCATTAATCTGTTTTCTTTACTGGCACGATTTACTCAGTGTAACTGATTACATTTCCCCCTGATTTGGAACTGTTTCACTCAGTTTAGGCGGATGAGTGTACTCCCAACACCTACCACTCTACTCATTGTGACAGCAGCCTGGATCTGTTTCAAACAATGAGTCAAACATGAACAGCTTATATTTGTATGCTTGAAATATGACTTCCTAAAAATGAAAGCTCATTAAAGCAGACTCAATCCTTAAAAAAAGAAGTATAGAAATGGTTGGATGGCAATTATGAGGTCATGCATGTATTGTATCATGTTCACCACTAGATGGCGACAGTAATCTAATGACCTGAAACGGTGGCTCCTATCTCAGCATCCCATTGCTCCCTGTAACACTCCTTGTGAAATAAGTTAATATATTTGATGAAATAAAATAACGATTTGTCACAGAGCCTCAAGATCACTCACTTTCAGATGATATTGTGCTTATTCCCATATTTCCATACAAAGTTATTATCTCTTTTATTACCACACTATGAATTAATTTCCATACAGTGAACCTTTGGGTGGCCCGTGTATATAATAAAAAAAACTCTACTTAACTGACAAACATTTGTAAATGTAGGTAAGACTTTATTAAGCATATATACAGAAATATATGCATTTAGTGTAATAAATGTAGTGTACTAGCAGGGGGGCTGCCGACATTATTTGGTTATTAAGCTAAACATTTCTGGCATATTTAGTCATTTGAGGTGCTTTGCTGGATGTTTTTGTGAAATTTAAAATCTGACCAACTGGCATCATTATCAACGAGCGTTGTAGCGTCAGGTCAGATAAGCAGCTCACATATTAGCAAGTTAACATAAGCTTTGATACTGGCGCTCAGTAACGTAACATTAGTTCTATGTTGTTCTCTCCTGCAGCTATATTGGTTGCTGTTGGACAGATTCAAACGAAGTGGATCTAGGGAATTAAGTTTTGATTTGCTGGGAATGAATCACGTTAATGTTAGTTAATTTAGGAAATGAACTGATAAATGGCACACCTTTTAAATTAGGGGTTTTTTTATCTCTGGGTGGGGGGAGCATTGTAGGGCAGGTACAGTTCAAGTCCAAAGTATGTGGTACTTAAAACTAACACTGACACTCCATCTTCTTAAAGGACCAAGAGATGAAGGCTGACTCTAAAATCATACTCCCCAATTATTTTCCTTCACCTGAGCCTTGAGAATGGAGACATAATGGAGCATAAATGAGAGACAGAAGGACAGCAGAGGACAACAACCAGCCCCATGTGCAAATGTGCATTTTGTGAACAGAGTCACTGGGTTGTCTGATAACAGATCAGCTCAGTAACAGTAGTAACATCTGCATTCTTAAGTTTCACTGCAACTTATCACATGTTGTCGTTTATCAAACACATTACATACCACAGCTACAGAATATGGACAGACATCAAAGAGGGACAACAAGAAGATATGAAAGTAAACTGTACGTGATGTGCGTGGTCAGACAGAGAGTTGGATCTGAAAGAAGAGAAAGAGGGAAAGAGACAACTGCTGCCTGTGAGGATGTCACAGCAGAATCATAGGGTAGAGTTGTACCAGGCCAAAAGATTTTTTACATTACTGTCATTACATTACTGCAACTGGATAACATAACCTACCAAAAAGGTGAACAGTGACAGTGAGAAACCTGTGAATAGAAAGTGCTGAAACTGTAGTTTGTATGAGTTTAGTCTCAATGAGAAATGCTGTAAAGAGACACAACTGTCTGCTGTCGTACTGACAGTAGCACGTTTATTGTATGGCCTTGACCTACAGGGACATGCTATTTTATTATTTTGGATGCAGTGATACACTAGTAGATAGGGTAGTAGGGTATTTGCTTTTGACACGAGAGTTAAATGTTTTGAGTGACTGCCTTTTAGAAGACAATTGAAGTGTTGTGCTGCTCAGAATAACGTTCTATGATTATTTGGAGAACTGTAACAGTGTTTCAGACAAAGAGCTTAAGCTCTAAACTACTATTGAACACTGTGTAACAGCAACAGTAATATAAAACAATAAAGTCGAAACATTTAAACACAGAAAAGTATGTCTCAGTACATTGATTTACACGTTAATTCTGTAAAATTCATTGGTGACTAAAAATACTCCTCCACTATCTGGTCACACCATTTCAGCCACTCAACAAATAAAACACTAAACCAAAAAGATACACTTTTTGAAAACCGTAATACCATTTAATATTTAATATATATTTATTTTCTTTATCTAAAGTCTTGAGTGAGCCTGCTGATGCTGGACCTCGACCAGGTTTACAGCTCGACCAGGTTTACAGCTGCGTCTGTGCAAGGAACTCAGTATTTCTGATTTGTGAGTACAGGGATCTTCTGTAGCAGTCAAAAACTAATCTCATATTTTTACTCCTGTCACTCAGCCCATGGAAATGGATTGTCTCCTAAATGATAAAAAGGATTCATATATGAGACTGTAATTATATATATCATCTGCTGATAAGGACCATGCGTATGGTGCGTATATATGCCCAAAAGCTACTAAGGTTGAGGTGAGACTGTCAAATGATGCATGTGTGTTTAGTTTACAGTTAATATCTTCTGACATGATCGCATCAGAAAGATAGTGAACTTCACCCAGATATATACAAAATATTCAAATTGTTTTTATATTACAATATCAAAATATTCTTATGTAACAGAGATGTAACCCTCTGGGTATTTTATTATCATTCTGACACTAACCTCCTGTTGTCAGCTTCAAAAATGTTAAAAGCAAAGAATGAAAGAATTCACATCACACTTACTGCTAACCTATGTAAACACAGTCGACTGGTTTCACATACCTATTGCATTTATTATCATTAGCCTATATTAAGAGTCATTAAAAAATATATTGTACTTCAGCTACTACGACTATGTCTACAAAAATATTAAATGGGGTTTTATTCCAAATAAATCTAACTAAAAAAGCAATACCAATGGGATTATTTAAAGGAACAGTTTCAAAATCAAAGTGCAAATATGTGACAACAAATTATAACAAATCAAAGAGATAGTTAAAGATAGTAAGTTTTGGCACTTGACATCTTCATGCTGCTGAGGCACAAACAAAACACAAAATAACTTACGTTTGATTCCAAAAAATCTAATTAACAAATAGTTTAAAGTCAATCAAAAAATCAACAATTATTTCCCAATAGGTATATTTAGAAGTACAATAACAAAATCAAAACGTGACAGTAAATAAATGACGTAGGTATAAAGGCTATAACATCCCGGCACTGCAGTCTCCAGGAGCTGGTCAGCAGGCTTGTGGTAACAGCAGGTTTGCGATGATGACAAATACTCCTTTACTATTATTACTGCTGGTACACATTTACAACAGCAGGGGGCAGAGTCTTCTCATTTAGCGGGATGTAACCTGACTCTTTCCTACTGTGAAGGCCAACTGTTTACTTTTTTCATACTATAATAGATTGCACGATATAAAGTATCTACTATAAGACATTAGCTTAAAATCATGTGTGGACACCCCTGTTTAAACTTCCCTTAAGAGCCAATCTCCAGGTAATTTCATTATAGTTTATCAAAGCAACGCGGGCTGCCAGTGAGGGGGTTACACATAATAATAGGAAAATAGAAAATAATAGGGGCAGATGTTTTGATGCTGGCTGTTCAGCCCCAGTGTATTTTAGCCTCGAGAGATACGTCTGACACTCAAGACATTTTTAAAAAGTCAGCCGTTTATGCTACTAATGTATGAAATAAAATACTTAATGAGATACATTTGATTCCAAATAAACCAAATAACAAATCAAAGTCAACAGTACAAGAGAACATTTCTAAAATATGCAATAATAACAAAATGATAGAAAAAGAGTACATTATGTGACACTCGGGAATTCTCAAAGTCAGCCATGTTTACGCTGAAATGAGGCTAAGCATTCTTTAGCTTCTGCCTTGGAGTGAATTACTTTCTGAGGTGCCTTACTGTACTGAACTCACTAGAATTACATCAACATAAACTATGAAATAGGATATAAAAAGAAAATAAATCAAATGAACAAATAATTGCCAATGGGCTTATTTCAAAGTGCACTGACAAAATCAAAAGACAGTATGATAAACGTAATAGCAAATAAACTGAATATAACATTTTTGGCACTCAGGAGATCCCTTTAAAAGTCAGCCCTGTTCAGATCCTGTTTTTGCTGAGCTGAGGCTACACATGCCTGGTCGTCCGCTGCTTCCTTAGAGGAGCTGACTTTCGGCGGTCTGCGGTGCTTCTATGGGCCTGGAAGTCCTCATTATCACTCTCAGGTATTGAACCATATCTGGATGACATGTGTTACAGTTATTGTAGTTAACTGTGAGCAGGGAGCAGAAACTTCAGCTGATTCATTCCACTCACACACTCTGATAATCTACTTGAAATAATGTGCCTCGTTCATTTGTCCGTATATTGGGTTAAAATTATTTAATATGAGCTCATATACTGTAAAAAAAAAAACCACTATGACCATCTAAATGTTTACCTTGTTGTGTCCTGTCCTCGCTTGTCGATTTCTTCTAGTTCCTTTTTTGACAGATGCTCAACAATCGCCACGCCCATGCAGTCCCCCAGGACGTTGACGGCAGTGTTGCAGCGATCTCTGAAAGACCACAGAGCGGAGAATAATGTCCTCCTCTCCCTTCATTGTGCTGTTTGACATGTTTGACAATGCTTGCCAGAAACACAGGTTAAACTTACAGCAGCCATTCTATAACCAACAAAAGGGACGCGTCCTTTGCAGGAATCCCAACAACGGTCAAAATGAAGAGAGTGGTTATTGCTCCAGTAGCTGGGATCCCTGCTTCTCCTATACTGGACACTGCTACTGTGGCACTGCAGAGGAAACACAGTGATCACCAGAGTGGACTGTTGAAGACACAATAATATGAAGCAGCACAATGTATTGTTCATACTTTTTTCATGCTGTCTATCAAATCCTTTTAGGTATATGTATAGTTTGTATATACTGTATGTGTGTTTATTTTCTAGTATCGCTCTTCCCCAGGTTTTTGGTTTGGATAGGTGCAAAGTACACCCAACATGCAACATGTGGCAATCATAGGACATGTGAAGGCTGAAGTGAGAGAGGAAGGCACTGCATATATCCAACTTTAAAGAGGAACTAAACCCCCACGCCACTTGATCAGCTGAAAACCTAATGTATACAGGTATTAGTAGGGTTGTTGATTGATTATCCTCATTCTCCATTCTGCAGTAGAATTCTGCTATTGGCGGGTTGGCTTGGTTAGCTCTGACTTCCAGCAGCTGTATTCCTGCAACCCTGAGCGGTAGTCAGTTTGTCACAATGCTCACTGTTTCCTTCTGCCACAAGGCTATATGATTCTCTCTGCTGCATTTTTTAATTGGCTGGGAGGAAGGGAGCTAGCTGAATTTAAGGGTTTAGTTACACTTTACCACATTACCAGAGCAACATGTCTAGGTTGTGAGTCCAGTGAGGGATCGACAGACTGTGTGTGCTGCTTGCATTGAACTCTTAATTACAAGAAACAGAACAGAGTTACTGAGAATGTAATATGATTGTGACTTACCCAAGTGCAATTAACTGGCTCCAGTTCAAATTCATGTTGTTGATTTGGGCGATAAAAACTGCCGCTGCCATTTCATAAAGGGCTGTTCCGTCCATGTTGACATTGATCCCAACCGGCAGCATGAAGCGTGTGATTCTTTTGTCAATCTTGTTCACTTCCTCACAGCATCGGAAAGTCATAGAGGACGCAGAGCTAGGAGACACAGTGCATAACTTAATATACTTAAATATACATCTATTTTCTATATCTATCAATCTAAATCATTTTCTGTGATACTACAGGGTTGAAGGCCAAGACAAAGATAAAGATTAAAATTCTCTTACCTGCGTGAGATAAGCATGGCCTTCATCATGGCAGGAGAAACCCCCTTAATGACAGGAAAAGGGTTTCGTCTCACACACAGAAGGTAGATCAGTGGTAGGGCTACTGCTCCATGAATGATAAGCCTGAAAAAGAGCGAAAACTACACAGTGTATACTGACTCTAAGCATAGATTGTATAATAATAATAGAAAATAGTGGACTGAGCTTCTGGGTCTGAATAGGGAAGCCAGTGCACAAGTGCATTAAACCTGCATTCTTGAAATTGCCAGCAGAGGGAGACTCCATTGGCCTGCTTGGATTTAATGTATTGGCAAAATGACCCTACTTGATTTATTAGCTCAGTGAAGTTTCCTAATGGGTTTATGGTCTTGTTTCAAATCTTCTTCCATAGAGCATGACTTTTATTTTGTAAATTATGATCCAATTTAGAGTAAAATAGACAAAAAGCAAGGTACGCTTTAGGGCGTGGCTACCTTGTGACTGACAAATCATTCTTAGTGAGTCTGTGTGTAACACACCAAACTCAGATCAAACTGTCAAACAAGGCAGTGCTGATCAAATATGAATCAAGATTCTGTTTCTGTATTGCCTGTTTCTCCATTTCTTTCAGAAACATATTTTAGTGTACTGTTTATCTGTTATACGAGTATGTTACCAGGCAAGCCGTCATCGTTTCCTACAACGGACGAGTTGAAATCAAGAACAGCCAATGAGCGCAGATGCTGCTGGATGCAAAACACCAACATTGCAACTGCCATAAGGGGCAAACTCGAGGCTTCAAAACTATACTCCACAAACCAACGAGTGACATCATGTTCACACTTCACTGTGACAAACAAAATTACTAACAGCAAAAGGACTTGGAACTGCGGCAGTTCTAAAAGTGCAAAAGAGGACATACCCACTAACAACCACTGCCATGAATTTTCCAAGTTGGAAGAAAGTCTCCCAGTTGTCCCCAACCTCAAGAATGTAGCTTGCAGTCATGAACAACACTCCCAGTGGCAAGAAGCTGGAAAGGAAGTGTACACTGTGTAAGTTTATACTGTACAATGTTTGCTGTCTTTCTGTAAATATTGCATAGTCTCAGTTTAGTCCCCACTTTTTAAATACTATATATTATATCTAACTACGCAGAGGTTGAGCCTTAATTTCAGAACACACATGCTGTTTCACCATACCCTATTGTCATTCTGACCACGTGTCTTGTGGCCTCATGCAAAGACGTAATAATGTCCACAAAGCGTTTCCCTTTTTCTCCAGTCTTCCTGAGGGCTAGTCCAAAAATGATGGACCACACAATCAAGCCCACAGTGTTGAGTCCATCAATATGTTTACCCGCCAGACGCACTTCTGTGCTTTTCTGAAACAGGACGAGAAACTCAGTGAGAACTTCATCAACAATTATCCCAGTGAACGTAAACTTCACAAAACAATCTTCATAGTGAAAAAGAGGAAGATGTTTACTGCTTCCATGGGAGAATGTTCATCGTCTTCTTCAATTTCAATCTCCACCAGCAGAGTCTTGTACTAAAGGTATTAAGGTGAAACAGAAATCATGTTAAATATTACATTGTCTTGTCCGTATATTGCATACCTGAGTAATAAAACATACCTGTTGAAAGCTAGCCTGAACCAGATTTTGTGGCACCATATTCCTATAAAGAGTAAAGAACAACCAAACATATCTACCATTATGGAACTGGCAAGTAAAAATATTAGCCTGCTTGCAAATGTTGACAAATAAGAAGAGAAATGAAACATCTCACAAAGGACAAGAAAACACTGATGGAATTCCAAAGAAAAATAAGTGTTTTGAAACATCTGGTTACATTTTCTGAAATGTTAGCGACAAACCTACGTATCTTGCTGAACTGGAAACTGAAACCTAAACATGCAGAGAAATCAGTAGTAGTAAGAATCGGGCTGGGCCGCTGGAAAAAACACTTTCTGCTCACCTTATTAGATCCAACAAGGCATCGACTGTGGAGAAGGCTTCATCGTCGTCATCTTTTGTCACATATTTACGAGTATTATCACCGGCCCCAGGCTTGATCAGCATTACTAAGATTAATCCTACAAAACATAATCCAGGGTCGAATACAGGAAGCAAAACCATGTATAACTATGGACTTCATACAACTTAATACAATCAAAAGCAAGTCACAAAACAAAGCCACAAATTAGTTCCTCTTACCTATAGTAACAGACAGAACAGTGGTGGAGACAAAGTATACCGCTGCACGTATGGAGATTTTTCTGGAGGTACCAGTACTCATACCACAAACTCCTATTAAAAATAAAAACATGAGCTGAGGTCTTAAGACTGAAGGTTAGAGCATCAGTAAAATATTTCTTACATCACTGCAATGAAATTTAAGGTTAGGGCAATGCAGTAACTGTACAGAGTTGAGCCTGGGTGTGTTATTTATAACCCTATATGAGGATCATTTCATTTTTGACTGTCAAAATGTGAGAAGCTGATGTCAGCTGTGTATATCGTTATTATTACTTTTAAATACTATATGTGTAACACGTATAACCTAATGTTACAGTTGACAGAGTGATAAATATAGCTGTTGCTTACCAGTTATCACACTTAACACAATCAGAGGAATGGTAACCAGCTGAAGCATCCGCAGGAGTATTTCTCCGGGAAAGCCGATGTACAATTTCTCTAAGTTGGACAGAATGACGAACTTCTTCAGAGTCATGCCCAAAGCAATGCCTGTGAGACATTAACGTAGAAATTTAGTAGAAAAGTTCAACCTTTGAATGAGAAGAGAGATCTAACAGGAGCAAAAAATGCAAAAATAAAGCATTATATCACAACATAACTACACTAAGCAAAATGTCAAACTAAGGTACAATACTATACAATATTAAATCATAATTCATGGCTGTTTATGTCTGTCATGAATTGTGATGTAATGATACACATTACTCTGTTTCCTAACATGCTTACTTTACAATACAATTGACTATATTTCAGACAGGACAACACAACAATAAAAGAAAAACAAATAAAACACTTATCAGCAACACCCATTTTCAAATTGATAATATATTAATTCCGTCTAATGCTATCCTTACTGCTCATCCATTTATACAAAGGCTCCTCAGCGATGCCTAACAAATGGGTACATTTATGCAGATTTATTTTATTTACAATATAAATCAATCAACAATACATCTCACTTCAATGTAAATGTGCCAGAGTTAGCTCGTTTTCATCCATAGTCCCTGGGCAGGTTATGAACATAATGACCAGCACTATAGCACACACAATAACATCCTGGTATGTGGTAGCATTATAGGCGACTGCATGCTGCTCTTTTTATAACTATACCACAAATCTTGGGTATAGCAGCACAGAGGGATATGCAGCAAGACCTCACCAGCCACACCTTCACATCAGCTGAGCACATGTGAAATATACTTGTTGCCCTGTTAGCGCAAATGCAGCGATTTAATGTGGTCGCTAGATGGTGCTGTTTAACCTGGTGTGATCAGAAGCAGTATCTCTCGTTAGGTCCGGAACCGCCATATTCAGATTCCAGGATGAGAAAGAACCTAAAGTGGTTGTTAACAGGAGCTGTTGTTGTCATTTAACTTCAGTACACAACATGACCTCAGACGTGCATTCCTCTATTACTGTGGCTATATGGACGTTATCTTTGCCTTACTTCAGCTAAATGTAAGAGGGTAACAGGACACTACACATTTTTAGTAAGCACTAGGACATTATTGTTGTTGTTATTATTATTATTACTAATAATGATAATAATAATTATTATTATTCATATATCTGCAGCATTAACCCTTTGACAGCTCACATTTGTTTCCCTAAAACGTATTTGTATTAGCTCAGTAGCAAAGGGTTTTTGTCCTATAAATGTATGTTATACTGTTTAAAGATTTAATGTTAGTTCCCTATTTAACGTTAGTGACATTAGTTTTTTTTAAAAAGCCCACAGAGAAAAATCGAGCAAATGCTGTCCAGTCAGCAAATTAAAATTAGCCTTAGCTCGCTATAGCTGGCTTTAGCAGTTAAGCTAGTTAGAGCAAGTAGCTCACCTTCCATTGATTGAAATCATTAACTCATTCATCACTTACCCAGGGCAACACCAATCAGGCTGGAGACTGTTAACATACTCCTGTTCTTGCGGCAACAAGCCTCCATTTTCGTGCAGTTAAATTAGCTAAAGTTAGCTAACCTAATATTACAGAAACACTTGAGTAAACCTTGCTAACAGCTAGGTTAGCTTAACGGCTAGCGACCAAAGTAACGTTATGTTTTGATTAGTTAAAAGTATTCAATTAAATGTCAAGAATGACGTCTATGAGAAGGCTATACGTATTATTTTGAGTCAATACTCCCAAAGATAGATAAAGAAGATTCAGTAATAGGAGTTTCTGTGCTGGTGAGTTGAGCACTCAGTTCTCCATGTTTTGGTTCAAGGTGAGTAACTCCATGGCAACGGCTGCACACGTGAACGCGGCGGCAGGTATGTGAGTGACAGGAGCTCCAGTCTGTGTGTCCAGATGTGACCTAATGATCCAGAGCACAGTGGGGTTGTAGAAACACAGAGACAGACTCAGCTATGGCAGAACAGGTCAGTCCTTCAACTCACATCAACTGAAACTACACTCATTCATTGTTTTCGTTAGTATTTCATCATTCGCATTGGGTTTGCTTTAAGAATATCTATTGCATTGATCAACATGTCAGATAAGCTGGTGGTGAAGAATCGTTTTATTTTAAACTTTAAACTATTGAGAAATACATTTTTAAAAACTCTTCAAGTATGTATGTTATCAAAGCTGAAATGTAACGTACGAAGTTATGAAGTAAGGATTGGGCCTTTTACTTATGGATAATCTTTCCAAGTCTTTTTCTTTCTAAGAAACTGTATTATATAAAGTTACAGTTTTTCATAAGTTCGTAATTTCACGACAAAGTAAATGTATTATAGTTGAAAATATCATTTTTGGATCTTAGATTTGCAATAGAGTAAATATTTCAGAGGGGAGTTTTGATATGATCGTCAAGTGTGCCAACAGTGTAACCGAGACAAAGGTGTGCCTCTAAATAACCAGAGATGAACCCATTTTCACTGAACAAGTACAATTTCTCAAAACTGAAGCTAGAATATCACATCTATCACATAACAAAAAAGCCTTCTAAGTGATTACTATGTAGTTTGTCATGTAGGTGACAGTGAACAGTAAAATAAAACCTTTCATATCTTCCACAGATTAAAATTCTCCAACATCTGCAGACTCTGGATCCAGACAGATCTTGTGAGATGGAATTACTTCGTTCTCCCATGAAAGGTTCATTTGTCTGGAGTTCGAGTCTGCTTGACTACATGCAGCAGAAATGGTTCAAGTCCATGAGTGAGATCCACCCAGTCATTTATCAGGTATGTGGAATTTTTTCTTCACTATTCTCAGAAGTATCCAATGTATCGTTTTGCTGCATACTGGAAATACATGGAAAATCAATACAAAACAATTCACATAGGATTTAAAGCCAGAAAATATAATGGTTGTGGACTGCATCAAATGAGATCAATTTGATTCCAAATAAATCTAATTGAACAAGCATACATTTTTAACAGCAAATAAATAAAGTAATAACAAATAAAAGAGATAGTCAATGTACAAATGCGGTGCTTGTAGGGAGTGACCTGGGCTGTAAGCATGCTGTGCTTTTGTAAGTTGTCCATTGCTACTAAAATAATTTAAGCAGCACAGGAAGTATACTAATGTTCAATTTTCAGTTTTGTGGAAAGGGGGTTAACTGGCTAGGTAACTGAGTAACAGGCTAAGTAATGGAGTAAATGGCTACGTAATTGAGTAAATGACTTAGTAATGACTCAGAAAACAATTGAGTAAATGGCCAAGTAATTGAGTAACATGATAAATAATGAGTAAAGGGCCAAGTAATGGAGTAATTGGCTAGGTCTAACTACACTCTATGTCCAAGTAAACAGTGGGTTATTGAGACTTAACTGAACATCCAAGGACATGATAAGACCCATCGTTGCACCACACTATCTGTTAACCTGCCTGTTTACTGAGTGACACTCCAACAGGGATAAATCGTCCCTCTTTCGAGCCTTCACATATGGTAGTGTGTGAGGGTTGCATTTATTCATGGATGACTTGAATTAACTTTGCAGAAAGACAAGATCATACGTTGTATGCTTTATGTGAAGAAATATCCCACCGGGCCAAGTAATTGGGTAAATGGCTAGGTAATTGAGTAACTGGCTCAGTAATGGCTAAGTAGTTGAGGGGGGAGTTGAAGGGGGGCAGCATTGCTCAGTAGGCAGAGCTGTGGTTCAAACCCCAGCTCCCCCAGCCTAGCAAATGGCAAAGTAATTGAGGTTAGGTAATTCACTAGGTAAATTAATGAATGGCTAAGTATCGGAGTAATTGGCTAGGTAAATTAGTAAATGGCTCGGTAATGTTTAAGATGTTGAGTGAAAAGGTGGAGGGGGGCAGCATAGCTCAGTAGGTGGAGCTATGCTCTCATACTCAGAATTCACAGTTTTTCATGAATCTTCAACTCTTAACTACTCATTCATTCTTTCAGCTAGAAACTCCATTCAAACTCTAAAATGTTCAACATCTTCCAGACATGTTAGTTATCATTTGACTTTCAAATCCCACTAAAACGTTTCAAAATATTAATTTAAAAAAATTAGAAAACCCTTCAAATCCACATCTTCAATCTCTTCCCTCGCATTCATACATCAAAATCCATTCAAATTTAAAAACGTCCACGGCAAATAGGACTTTGTCACATTAATTTAGCTATTTCATATCTTTTATACTCTTCACTCAGTCGCAGTTTAAAATTCCTGAAAATTTCAGCCCTTCTGAGACTTTTTCATTAGTGTGAATTGAGTGGGTAACATCATCACTAGAGGGAAGCCAATCGACTCTGGAACAAATCATCTATAAATCTGGTCTTCACCAGGCTCTCACATCCAGTTTTTAGTTCATATACATCATTTGCATCAAAATGTAGCAACATTTGTGCCAGTCATAGACATGTCACTACAGAAAGAAACAGACTTTTGTCTTTATAAACTTCCAACCAACAGGAGTCCCAGCCAACGGCCACATTAACAGCCTTTTTAAGTGCAAACACAAACTTAATTTCTACCTGCTGCTCATTTGGTCACATTTTTGACCCTACACACACACACACACACACACACACACACACACACACACACACACACACACACACACACACACACACACACACACACTCATCTCTTTTTTGCATAATATCCCCATTTAGGTCATTGGAGTTACAGTCTGGGCGCTAGAAGCATAATCATGAGAGGTGCGCCTCAGCTAAGATCTCTATGAAATGAAGCCTCTGACCCAGGACTCACTGAGCAGATACCATCACCATGGCAACCTTCAATTGCAGTTGGGAGCACACAGCTAATTGAGATAACTTAATTAACACAGTTTGACAGGCAGGCAAGCAGGCAGTCGGATAGAGAGAGAGAGAGACAGGCAGGCTGACACTCAAGTACTTCATATCTTAAATTCAATCATCTTGGAAGATATTATGGAATTTATTCAACTTTTTAGTCCCATTCATAGTAATTAGACTCTTTCCCACTTGTCCAACTAGAGAACTCCTTCCAGTACTTCACACAAATTAAAGCCAGCAATTCAGTTTAGTGTTAGCCTTTCAGCAGTGAGCATTCACACCTGCAATTTCTTCAGAATTTTTTTATGTTATTTTATCAATTTGATTATCTTTTTTGATGTGTGTAGCATGAAAACTTTAATTTTGTTATACAGCCTTGTGCTTGATCATGGTGGGAACTGTTGGGTCTCTAATTTTATAAGGAGTATGATCTAGACCTGCTCTATTTGAAAAGTGTCCTGAGATAACTTCTGTCATGAATTGGCGCTATACAAATAAAATTGAATTGAAATTGAATTGTTGTATAATGATGAATACATTTCATTGATTTCTTGAAGTAGACAATAGTTGAGGATAGAATCAATCAACCAACCAATCAGTTTTTATATTTAAAGTGCAAAATCACCATGCTGTTTGGTCCCAAAACACAGATTTTTGTCCACAAAGCAACCGACATGTGGCGTTTCTAATTAATAAATAAATCTCTCTCCGCAGAGAACAGCTTTCCCCGTAGTAGATTAGCACAATACTCCTCTTCTTCTGACTTAAGTATTTAAATGACATTAGATCTATTAAACTCAAACAAAAATGCATAGAAAATTGTCAAATTGCCAAATTGTTGTCAGCACTTGATTTTAACAGGTTGAAAAGAAAAGTAACAAATGAAGGATTTTGCACCAAGCAAATAAATGTCACTAGGGTCAGAAGCTGCTGTATGTGTAAGAATATGCCTCTTGGATAACAGAACTACACTGCCACCAAATGGACTTAAAACACATGATTCATCCGTGTTAAACGCCTCAGTGGAGAAGACATTTTTTAAGTCAAGAATTAGATTTGTAGAAACTGAACAGCAAAGGAGGAGGTGAGGAAACAATAACTGGAAAACACAATGTTTTAGAAGAGGATGTTATACATTTATTATTGAACCAGCTTTTGAAATCCAAAAGACGGGGTAAGGGATTAAAAAAATCATTGCACTACTTAATAAAGTATTACTAGTAATAACTCTCATACAAAATGTACAAATGTTTGTTAAAAATTTCATTATCATCATAACAGGCCTTCAAATGATTTTGGTTACAGATATAATACATAATGAAACTACTATGACACCATTTTAATGACAGTTTCATAGAGTTTAAAAGGAAAAATATTCAAACAACCCAACAACTTGCATGGAAAAGATTAGCAAAAAAAAATTTTATAAGCACTAATCATACTGGTTGCGCCATTTTCTGAAGACATAAATAGTGGGACTGAGGTAATTGCTAGTGTACCAAGCAACAAAAAAAATCTGTCCAACATAAAACAATCCTAAGACACAAAATGGATGCATACAGTCACAAATATGACCTTTGACCCCAAAAGAAAAAAAGATGACAAAATATAATTTTCCTCCATTCCCATGAATATTACATGACTTTATACAATGACAACGATGGAGAACAGTTTTTTTTTTTTCTCAGAAATTATGAATTATACACTGTTGGTTTTGTAAAATGTATTGGTGTGATGTGGTGATAGATACAAGTTTGTACCCAGAGAAAATTAAGCTTTGTAAAAGGCATCTCAGATGTAAGACACTGCAGGTGCCTGGCTGAACGTTCCACACCAAACTTTTGTCTCTAATCTCTATAAGGCCTATGCTAGGTTGTCATCTTGACACAAAACACCAATTGTGATAAATAGTGATAAATTACATTAGAAAGCCTGCTCTGTGCACGAGGTGAACATCTCGGAGTTACATTATCACATGCTGACATAGGCCTTACAGAGATAGAGTATTTTTTAAGAAACAGAACCCCCAAACCTCTGGAAATAAAAAGATGTGCAGTGAGAAGAATATAAAAAGGAACTGACATATTGGGATACTGTAAGGTGCGTTGACATGGAGTACATTTATACATTTTTAATGCATTCAAACGTTTGTTCTCATACACACATGGACTGTGGGAAACTGATCAGTGGTTTGTTCAGAATGAAAAGAGGGTGTAGGTCTTAAATCTACGTATTAAAGTGCTCAAGTGTGAAATCCACCGTGTGGTGAAACAGTAGATTTAGCTGTGACCTTCTGGCCCTTCAAACTTGTTCCTTGTCAGTGATGGAGAAAACATTGCATCTGTATCTACCAACGCTTACACAAAGCTGCTTGGGTACCTGAACATATATAGACACATGTTTTTAAAGGCCTCATTCCCATAAGAAAGCTAGTAAACTGAGCATGTATGAATGTTTTGGCGAGATTTTTAATGAATGTTTTGCATCCACCTTGTCAGCTATGTAAGATTCAACTGTATTCACATAATGTCCCCTGGGGGAGAGCTTAGTGGATATGTCAAGAAAGATTTAAATAGTCATGATCCGTCTTTTTAAGGATAGGACGTACAGTATCAAAAAAAAGTATTTCAAAAGCCTCCAGCCTTTACTAATTTGTAACGAGAGCAAGGAAGATGGGCAGACATGGAGTGGTGGAGTCAAGAGTGTAGAGCGTGATGACATGACACAAAAGCATTGTTGTTGCTTCCCTGGAGGTGTTCCTGGTCCTACACTTGGGTAGGTCTGAGTTTACCTTCAACCTCCAGTGAGTCTAAATCTATCTGAAGTATAGTGAAAACAACAGTATTGTCGAAGTCAATGCGTTGTACCACATGAACTGTATAAATACCACAGGATTAACACACACACGCACAGGCACACGCACAGGCACACAGACACGTATAGAGAAAATAAAGTATATTTTTCACTGTTCCAAAGTAGCTCACTCTTTGACTCACAGTGTACAGTATCTTTGTTTCACCCCATACAGACTGCTCTCACGCCAAGGAATGCAAGAATAAACATTATAAACAGAAATTAAAATGGACTGACACTGTTCAACTGCAATTATAATAAGTCTAGTAAAAATGAGTCTCTGTAAGCCAAGATGTGGATGCTTAATTATGACCAGAATAATAACAACAATGACATTATCATAATCTTTGGACTGCCAATTCTCCCTAAATGTTTGTTAGTACAACTATACATGAGTCTTTTTCTCTGTCCATCACCTAGAGGACTGAACAGGTCGCCTCAGTTTGGAAGGGCTCATAACAAGTTTAAAAAAATACACTTATATATGTGCACCTGCACATGACACTGGGTGTATGTGTTTCAAAGGCCATTCGTAGTAAGGAGTAACCATGGGCAGAAGGCAGAGTAGTAGGGGTGTAGTAGTCCAAAACAGAAGGCCTAGGAAGTCCAGCAATAAAGTGAGCAGGAGTCAGTAGGAAGTTGCTGATCCCAGGTGAGAATTACTGTTCAGTGTCCTGGGGGATAAAGGGGTTAAGGAATAAGGAGCACTGGTCCCAGTTATGTGTGAGCGGAGGTTTATGATAGAGGGGGAGAAGTTCACTGATCAGTTGGTGCATCCAAAAGGTAGTCAGGGATTGTGGGTGTTCGGTGTTGATGACGTCACTCAGAATCCCGCTGGACCTCAGAAGCATCAGCTCGACAGATGGGACAGGTTCTGTTAGCCTGGAAGGAATGAAAAATATGAAGATGAGGGTTAACGGGAAATGTATACTAAAAGATCAATATATGCATACACTCAAACAATTAAAAGGTCAGGGCACACCAGCATTTAAAATAGTGACATTTTGTGGAAAATCCATTAATTGCAATGGAATCGCAGCAATCGAGATTAAATACGCACAAATTTAAACTTCCAATTCTGTGAACTTTGAAATGCAAATTTCACAACGTTGACCAACAGCACACTAATATATAACTATACTGTTTACCAATAGCAATCTGGACAGTGCTGACCTTTTACAGGCTGGGGAGTTGAAAACAGAGGGAGCTATCACAGATTATATAACACGTCAGAGTGAAAACTACTCCACAAAGAGAAGAATAGTTTGGAGACAGAGACAGGAGTCAGTTGTATAAATACATCTTTTGAAAAAAATTGTGTTAAGTTATTGTCCTGTTAGCGAGCTGTCAGTTAGGAAGCTCATTAGCACAGATCTTTTTTTTCCTCCCAAAATTGTGACGGACTAGCGCTAACATGTTCCCGGCTGGCTAGTGTGTTAGCTGTTTGCTCATCAACAGTACTTCACCAAAAGGTCTAACTATTGTCACTATGCTTGACCAGGCTTAGTGGAAAACAGTTGATGAATTTACATTTAGTCAAAGAGCTGAATGTCTTTACTCACCTTAAGCCACTTGTCTACACACTTGGCATGGAACTCGTGATTACAGGGCAAGACCCTCAGGAGCTGGCGGGACTCAAAGTCACACATACACACCACACACCTGTAAGACAAAGCAAAGTGGGTGCCATTTAAAACAGAATCTTGTACAAACTCATAGCGCCTCAAAACCTACATTCACCCACAAGGCAAATTCCTCACAACACCTAGATTTATAAGAGCATAATGATACTCACAGTGTTTGCTCAGACTGGTGGTTGTTGGGGTTGAACCTGTATGATGGAAGCTGTTCTATATCTGCTTTAGTTAGACCACGGGGCTTGGCCTCTCCTAGACGTTCTGCAAGGTTCAACAGGGCCTGAAGGATTCACACAGAAAGGCAAAGTTTAGAGGACAATGCAAACAGGACATCTAAATTAAATCCTACTGTGTATCATGGGATAACATTATTCTTGGCTGAACGTTGAAGGCAGCAGTTGGTCCTACCTCATAGTTCTCCACCTCTCCATCGTCTACATCCAGCTCTAGACTGATAGTGGGGGCCACATTTGGGGGCACAGGAAGCATAGACCTGTAGGTGGTTGAAGACAAAGCACAGAAAGTTTAGTAGACAGTATTTGTTATGTCTCTGAGGCACACTCAAATCTGACGCAAATTCACCTGTACAATTCCAACATGAACTCAAAGAAGTGAAAAACACTTACAGGAAGTAAGGCAGGAAGCTGGGGTGGTAGGGGGATGGGGGTACAGCCTGCTGAGAGCGGTACCGCCGGCTTGTGAATCGGCGAGGCATAAAGTGGGGATAGGGCTGTGAGAGATATGACAGAGAAAATCAATGTTTATACCAAGAATAAAAGCATTATTTTAATAGCCGTATATTATAATCCAAACACATGATGAAGATGTTATGTAATTTACCACTGTAAAAAGCTCCTGCGACAGGGGGTCATGGTGTGAGAGGAACTGGAGTGGTGTGGATGGCGGCAGGGTGGAGGGAGGCTGGTGGTGATGGTGGTGGTGATGGTGGGCGTAGCTGAAGCCCCCACCAACTGAAAGCTGCTCTCCCAGAATGTCAACCTCATTTTCGATCCTCTGTAAGGGCTGAGAAGAAACACACTTGGTTACAGAATGTGACAAATGCATAACAAGTGTTAGGGTGGGACACTAACTGGGCCAAAGATGCCAAGTAATTCTGGAGGACACTGAAGCAAAATCTGGACAGCAGATTTTAACAGTGACATCTGTGTTTGGTGTCTTCATTTTTTTTAATTGCTCAATGATGGAATGAAAGTAATTTCATTGATTAACAATGTATAATAACAAAAACAAAACCTTAGAGAGAATAAACACATTACTCTATAACTAGGAAACACAACTACTACTAAACTTACTACAACTTGTCAAATATTAATGGCTTCTTTTAGGTATACCAAAATTCTTGTATTGATGCAAGTTACAATAGGATAAATACCAGTTAAACTATAAAAAACTGAAATCATTCACATACCGATCGTGGCTGTTGTGTCTGGAAAGGCAGGAACTGTCCGGGTGTGGGGAGGTGGGCTGGGTGATGAGAGAGGTGGGGTGGATGGGGAAGCAGGAACTGAGGGTCACTGGACAGCAGCGAGGGGAAGGCATAGGGCACTGGCAGATGTTGCATTGAACATGCCTGTAGCATCTGGCACAGGGTGAACAAGAAGAGAGAGAAATGTTTTAAATGCAAGTTTTCTCTGTGGTGATTGCAATGAGCCAAGTCTTGCCACAAGGTGGCAGCCAAGACTAGGAAGATAAAAAATCTCCTTCAAACAGGAAAATGACCTGCATGGTCTTTGCTACTTTTTACGCATTTTCCTTTTGAGTACTTTGCTTTTTCTTAGGTTGAGCCATTTGAGAGGCTGTACAGCACAAAGTGTACTTCTCTTATTAACAAACAAACCCACACACACTCCTACAAACTGTACACTGCTGTGTTCGTCTCACCGGGTGGTAGTGTTGTCCAGTGCTGAAGACCACGCTGCAGGCGGGGACTTGTTGTTGTGAAGAACAGGTAGGGGGTAGGTGCTGGCTGCTACACAAAGGTGCTGCGAGACCGTGTGGAGGGACTGGGGTCACTGTGTATGAGACTGGTACACTGGCTTGCTGCAGCTGGGGAGAAAACATAGCACAGTTAATATGCAGCCTCTCACACACACACGCAATGTCTCCTAGTGGCCTCACATGTAAACTGAAAGTATTGGCAGACCAACCTGTTCATGCAAGTCCATGACCATGGCTCCTTGCTGCTGTTGCGTCGCATGATGCTGTTGCTGATGATGATGGTGATGGTGATGGTGGTGGGCAGCCGGGTGCAATAGTCGTGGCGACAAGGTGGGGGGGTGGAAAGCTCGGGGCTCCTCCAAACCTGCCCCCCCTCCCCCAGCTGTGGGAGGCTGACCATAGGCGCTGGGTGTGTGCGTTGGGTATGTCTGGTGTGTGGAGGCATGGAGGTTGCGGTGGTAGTTTTCATCCTGGAGCTCGGATGGCGACAGGCGAGGTGTGGGACCTTGGCTGGTGGGGTGGTGATGGGGAGGCAAGTGACGGGTGGGTCTGGAGAGACGGCCGCGCTGACGCCTTGCTGGCGGGCTACAGGTGGAAAGAGGGAAAGTTTTACATTTGGGACCCTCATTTAACTTATCACAGTGAAACTTGGTCGTAGAAATCAAGAAAACACATCACCTGCGTCTGTGCCGAGCAGGAGTGAGGCATCTCTCCTGGTGGTAGTGTGTGTGGGGGTGAGGTTGTCTCCGACTTGGGGGTGCTGACTCCCAGGGCCGGATGGGGGGAGATGGGGTGGACGGTGGGGGGGCGGATGAGGTTAGCTGTTCCAAGACAGACTGACTGGACAGCCTCTGGCGCTTTGGACTGGGGCTTTCTTCACTCTGCAGAGGGAGGGGTGGAAAATGGAGGAGGAAAAAGTGGAAAGAAAAGGAGAGTGGGAGAGAGGATGGGTATTGTGGTTAGTGACCCATACCACTCGAATCAAATCAATTTCACCATGCTTTACAGTCCCTCTAGCCTACAATCCATACTACTGCACAGACACTAAGTTCCTTTGTGACTCGTGGCATTTCCTGTATGACCCAGTGTGTGTGTGTGTGTGTGTGTGTGTGTGTGTGTGTGTGTGTGTGTGTGTACTTTTATGCATTTGTGTGCATGTGTGTGTGAAAGAGAGCATATTACACCACCAGCGCTCAGAGGCCCTGAGGGTTGAAAGTCACTTCCTCTTGGAGTGAGGAAATGCAAACGCACAACAAGCACTCACAGGCCCATGCGCGAGTCATACATACACACCCTCAACTGGATAGCTTGAAAATTCTTTCTCATAGGGATGCAAAAAGTCAGTGATCCACACAAAAACTGTGACATAGCTGAACATGAAGTCATCAATGTTCAGACTGAGTAAGGAGTTATCATATACTCAACTCATCTGTGAGTCACATCACTTACAGTCAGGCAGTGACTCTCTCACTTGGCGAGGCAAGAACACACACGCTTATGTGTCAGTTCTTAGTCATTCTCCCTTACGCAGACCTTAGTTGTGCTCTGAAGAACACACCGGTTCTTTACGAGAAAACACATATACACACACACACTTTCTCATAGTTACCATCTCAACACTTTTCCCCCTCCTCTACTTACATGATCCCTGCTTCCACCTTCCCTCTTCGTGGGAGAGACACGTTGTTAAAGTGTGATAAAAATGACTCAGCGGCTGTGACTTTTCACACACACACACACACACACACACACACACACACACACACACACACACACACACACACACACACACACACACACACACACACACACACACACACACACACACACACACACACACACACACACACACACACACACACACACACACACACACACACACACACACACACACACACACACACACCTTGAGAGCAGTGTGATAGCTAACAGGAAACAGCTGGAGAGCAGGCTGCAGAAACACACACAGTTATGGAAACGCCTGCAGACATGCGCAAATTCACATTCACACATGGGCAGCTGCCACTGTTTGAGTTCTACAGCCTATAAAGAACAATACCTTCTGAAGCTCTTTAGAGGCAGAGTCTGCTGTTCTAACAAACCTGAACAAAATGTATTTTGACTACAGGACCAAACACACTGTATACACATTCAGGGCTCTATTACTCACTAGCACTGGATGTGACCTGAGCAGGACCAGCTTATGGGAGAGACAAACAATAACAATGACTTCATTTAGACTTCAACAGATTGGACTACATGACAGGAGAGGGCTAGAAAGAAGGGAGGGCAATGGAAAGAAAAGAGCAGTAGAGATGGAATTTGTGCATAAGACAGGCAGAGATGAAAGAGAGGTGAAGCTTGGTGGAGCCTCAGGGTACACCAAACCCTAAATGACAGAACAAATTTAGGTCGTAGAAAGGTTACACACCATGATTTTGAGTGCATCTGTCTGTGTCTGCCCGTGTTCTTTATGAGCCGTATAAATTACCATGCCTGAACATTTGTGTCCGAGACAACTGGTGCATCAGCAAGCCTGTCCCAACCCCTTAAAAGCTCTATTATATCTAAATGCATCCTTACCATAATTCAAGATACATTTTGTTCTCTTGTTCTTTCGGGAAGTCATAGTATAATTTCTCTGATAGTCAGCTTTTGAATTGTGTGGTAGCAAAGGGGTTTGATTTTTCAAATAATAGACATGGCTATTTGGTTTAGCTTCATATTCATAAGAAATGCCTAAAACAGTTTTCCGTTCATTCCCACAAGTCTCACTTGACAATTCTGATAAGTTTGTTACTGATGCACTTTTAATTACTTTTAGAAAGTAAATTTATGCAAAATATGAAAAACAAAAATGCAGACATACTGTTCTTGGGAATTTTAACTGACCGAAGCTATCAAACACAGTAATTCTAAGACAAATTCTACGTATTCCTTAAAATAAATGAAACATAAAAGTAATTTATGATGCTATAATACAGTGTCACTTTGTTAAAAAGAAAGAAAAGAAAGAAGCTTTTTCCATGGATTATTTCAAAAGTGACATGGAAGGCACACTATCTCTGCCCATTTCTACACAGGATTGAGGGCACCAGTGATCCACCCCCACATATCTGTTCCTCTCAACATCCCCCTCTCTTCCGACCAGACACCCCAAAACCTCTCTACCAGCCTAGCTTCAACACCCTTGGGACATCTACTGTGCCCATTTTCATATCTAAGCCAGTCTCCTCGATCCTCAGCCTGACATATTCCCTCTATACACACTCCCCAGTCCCCCCCACCCCCCCTCACCCCTCCTCACCCCCTCCTCACCCCCTCCTTCCATCAGATAAGCTGAACCCCTCCACAGTCCCCTCTTCCTCTAGCTCCCGCCCCCCTTTTTTCCTCTGTCTGTCCGAGACCCCGGCCTGAAATCTAAGGGGACAAGACAAGAAGTTCTTAGACAGGACACACACACACACACAAATATACACTCTGTCTTAACACATGCAGACTATTGCCCATTAGTATGAAAGTTTGATGGGCCTGTCTACCCGTGTTAGTGGGAGGGGAACAGTGTCAGACAAAGGAGTGTGTGTGTGTGTGTGTGTGTGTGTGTGTGTGTGTGTGTGTGTATCCTAAAGCAATATTCCTTAACGTGGCCTAATAGAGTGTTTGTTGTGTACACACACACACACAGACAGACAGACACAGACTTCCTAGCACAGCCCAGAAACATTGTGAACTGCTGCTGAATGGCTGATATTACAGCAGAATCTGCAGTGCTCACAGTGTAGGGACCACACACACACACTTCGTTCCTTTCACTGTGTCCACATTCAGTGTGTGCACACACCAGGCTAGGCAGATATCCTGAAGCACGAGTACAGACACACCCATACAACGTTCTATTTCACTATGTCCACATTCGGGATATGCATGCAGCCACTTGCACACACACTAACTCTGGCCGGCAGCTGTTGTGGTTTCGCTGTCATTGCTGAGAACCAAAATAAAGAGAGGCCCACAGAGTGCATGCAAACACACACCTTACACAACTGTGCCCAGGTCTCTCTTCTCCAGCATTCATGCCCCTAGAAATGTGCACGCTGAGCAAATATGGTCATTTGCTTTTACAGATTCATTAATATTTGCAGACATGCTCCCACTAACACTCAAACACTTCTCCCTCCCCCACTTATTTTCTTTCCATCAACAAGATTTCAAAGCCCATTTTGTTTCCTCTGCCACTGTTCCTCCCTTCCTCCCTCTCCCTCCCGCACTCCTTCCCCTCCTTTCCCTTCTCTCACTCTAACCAAGCCCCACAGCTGGAGGTGAAATCATTAGCAATACCCCCTCCCTGTTTTTGGCCTCCCCTCCCTTCCGTCTCTCCCTCCAAGCTTTCTGCAGCACCTTCCTCAGCATCCTGCCTCCCATCTTCTCCTTCAGTTTTTTTTTTTTTGCTTCATCTGCTTGCTTTTTACTCAGGCCTTTGCTTGTGATGATGAATATCATTTACTGGAGTACACTTGTATACTCTGGTGTGTTTTAAATCATGCTTATATGAACTACATGAGTGTGTTTTTTCAATACTGTCTTCACTAAGACAGCAGCATTGAATTATCAGTAATCTGTTAGTAAATATACAAGATGTTAATTCTTTACCCATGTGAATTTAAGTTTATAGTTTCTAATAAAGAATAAGCCCCCCTCAATGGAAAAGAAAAACAACATGCTGAGTCTAGACATTGCAGATATGAGTGTCATGGGTGCATGGATGTATCATCCAGTAATCAGCTGATAAACAAAAAGTTTCTACAACTGGCCATCAGCTGATTGCTGAAAAGCATGGTCAGCTCCTACATTGTCATTTCAATCAAATGAAAGAAAAGAAAAACAAAGTATATTTTGCATTACGCCATCCTTGGGAGGGGCGACTTGTCACAGCTGCTTATGCTGCTGAAGGATCTCTAAACTAAACGTACTTCAGCCTTTGTGAAATGTAAAGCAGACTTGCGATTTGCAAACTGTGTTCGAGTTTCTCAAGGAGGTAATAGTGTTACACAAAACATGATTAAGAGTCTGAGTAGTGACATAGTAAACAACAGCAAGTGCTTCTCTGCATTAAAGTTTCAAACAAAATAGCCCAAGTTCCATCATTGACAAAGACAGAAAAAAATATATATATACACTTTAAAGTTTTTATTTAGCTATTTCAGCCAAATCACTGATAAGGGTTATTTTAAAATAGATGCATGTGAATACTTTTCATTTAAATAAATGTTTCACTTAAACTTAAAAATATAGCTGTAACTCTTATGTTGGTATGAAAATAAGTACAAGTACATTCAAGGTGTGTGTGTATGTGGCTTACCTTATCACTCTCTTCTCCATATGCATGGTCTGGGTGGCAGTGGTAGGACCCGCCAGAGGCTCCTACACAGAAAGGGTAAGAGCAGAATATAACAAGGTCACACAGTGAGACAACATGGGCCTAAATCTGTAAAGCCTGCTGCTTATTACATACACTTTGATAAAATGTTACACTTCCTACATGTTCTACATTTCATTACCATTACACATTTGATTTTCATTAACTCATTCATTGTTTGGAGAAATATATATATATATATATATATATATATATATATATATATATTGTGTGTATGTGTGTGTATCTCACAACATTGGTATCAGCCGACATTCACCTTGTTGACTGATATCAACCAATCGGCAAATAAGATGGCATTCGATATCAGTGGCCAATGTTTGTTGATTGTGTCGCATTAATTTTGTGCTGGTTAAATGTTTCTGATTCAGAAATAATTACTTCCGTTTTCTAGCACTGACACAACAAGTGTGTCAGAGTTGCAACAAAGCAGATTTCATAGATTTTTTTGTTTCCTGGCACAAAAGGGCAAATAAATAACAAAAAAAACATCTGTATGGGCCCAGATTTTTAAAAAGTATAGTTACTATATATCTCGCAACAGCTAATTTCCCAAAAAGTCCGAAACAGAGGCATTGAGTAAACAATGAAATTGGTAATTGCTGAAAAGATGGGAAAGTTCAAACAGGACCATTCACCACTAGATACAACACACACTACAATTAGTCAACAATGTAATAAAATGTAGGCTTAGTCGACCTACTTTTCATCAGATGGATAGTCACAGAAAAACAAAAACAATGCCAAACTCTGTTTGTGAGTATCAGGGGATTATTGCAACGCAGACCTTTTGTAACACAGTGAATCACCTACTCCTAGTAGCTGACTGTACCTGGACTGGGAGCTCGAAGGACAGGGGGGGTTTAAGCATAACTAGCGTAGAAAGCGGGGACCCAGCAGCTCACGGCCTCAACGGCTCCAACCAGGACTATGACTTTGGGGATGAAGACACGGTGGGTTCAGGCAGGGACAGGAGAGGAATGAAACGGAGAGAGAGGAGAGCCTTTGTAGTAACTTCATAGTTGGAATTATTTTGGAGTTATTTTTACATGTGTGATACTGTGGTGAAATAAATGAACTAAATGTTCAGTCTCTTTGCTGGTTCATTCAGATTCATTACCACTTTTTCTGCTAACATGTCACAGGTGGCTTTTAAAATCTACTTATTTAAATAATTAAATTAATATAAATGTGCAACGAATAGTCAACTATTGGCTTTATCTAACGACTACTAGTCAACTACAAAAATCTTTAGTTGGGGGCAGGCTTAATAAAATGCATGTTAATACAATTCCATTTGGACCACCAACCAATGCGTTTCTGGTATAAACACACAGACCTCAACATAGTGTATTAATTACTACTGTGTTGTGTTTTATTTTGCAATACAAAATGCAAAACATGTTGGCAAAACCTTTTGTTGATACTGATAGCAACATTATACCCAGGCATTGTGGGGAGACCCCTGTTGATCTGCACACAGTACATTTAATCCTGTTGTTATTGTTCTTGCAATTTGGATTTAATACACAACAGCAAAAACAATGACAACATGTTTGTGAGGTGGGCTGCTGACTGTGTGTCCAGCACAAAAGTGACTGAAACCCATATGTTGTAGTCTCAGATCAGAGGCAGTAGATGGAGGTGGGCACACACGCACACACACACAAAATAAACACAGTAATCCTGGATTAGAGAAGCTTTCTGATGATAGCGCCGCTTGCATCACAGCTAAGACTTTTACGCTTTTGTTTTTCCACAATCCTTTCATCTTTTTATTGTCTTTTCTATTTATTCTGGCTTTTGTTTTGCCCTTTTTCCATGGCCACGTTTTTAGCTGGGGACGTCCTCACCACAGATGGTGGCAGTGGTACACACACACACACACACACACACACACACACACACCAAGGGTAAGCACTCCCAAGGGCACTCCAGACAAGGCTACCTTTACATTACGTTACACCAAAGTATAAGGGAATGGATGCAAAAAAGCCTTTTAAAGAAAAAAAAAAAACAGCATTTTTCACCTCTCGGCTGTTTGTTTGTGGGATTTTTCCTGCTCACAGCCTCCCTCTTTGAAGAAAAGCTGTGATTGACAACAAAAAGAAGAGGGGGGGAGAGAGAGAAAGAGAGAAGAGGCAGACAGAGTGAGGTTTTCACAACTGAATTCCTCAATCCTTAAAAAAAAAGCTTTTCCTCTCATACTCCAATCCCCAGAGCAGGCAAAATAAATGGATTGAAAGGGCTGAGGTAAGTAAAGCTAACATTAGTGTAGTGAAAATCGGCTAAAAGGCTATTTTCATCGAGATGATTTGGGATGGACTAGTCGTGAAGCATTCACGGGACTCGCCGGCTGCAAGACGCTCCTCTGTACGACACTCATTCACCAATCACAATAGGCAGAAATCCAGCTCCCACCCCGAATATGGTCTCACTTGCACATTGTCAGAGTCCGGTAAATTGAGTCAGAGACGAGTCATTCAGTCGGAGTCACTCTAGAGCACAATACAGAGGCTACAGAACAGGTTTAAAATGTTTCGATGACATCATGTCCAGTTAGTGTGTACTGAGCTGTGTGCAGTCTGTTACTCCATTTAGTTTCTACACACAGGGCCTGAAGGAAAGTTGAATAGTAGGATTGCATTATGAATTTTTAATGTGTGTGGACACGGCAATTTCTTCTCCTACGTCTAGGAAATTTTAGAAAATGCTAATATGAGCAATTTAATGAATAATATACACTTGAAAATATAATGTTACATATGAAAGATTGTCTCATGTAGGATTTTATTTGTGCAGTCAAGGATTCTGCGCAGCACGAGGTCTTCTTGTTTGTAATATACACAGTAAAGGAGTCACTACTCCACTGCTGAATCAACGTGGAGATTTATATGCATTATTATTGTTTGTGCATTTGTGTAGTCGAATTTTGGAGTTGACCAAAAAAAAATAACAAAGCTGGAACTTGAGACAGCAGCCCAGCTCAGGAAGCAGAACGGACACAGTGCATCACATCAATGAGGCTTGAACACAAGAAGTAGAACTGCCAGAATGAACAGTCTCTCTCTCTCTCACACAGACTTTTAGTGAAAAAAGTGAACTTTTATCTCTTTCCTAAGCATGGTGGAGAAGAAAACAAGCATAGAAGGTGTGTACATGCTTTAAGCAAATTGCTTTGACTACACCAGACTGCTACTATCTAAATGTTGGAAAAGTTGGAATAAGATGCAAGGGGGGAGTGATTGTGAGCAGGAAGCAGGCATAGGTAATGATAGATTAGTGTGCATTTGATTTAACATTTCTTTTGACATTAAAAATATTATTGTGGTTCGCAAGAAGAAAAAAAGATTTTCTACTTGATGGCACTACACTTTAATCACTGCAAGAGTAATCAACAGACTGCATCATGATTGAGAATTTTATTTAATTATGTCCTTTCTTTTTTTTTCTTCTGTATTACCAGACAAAATTAAATATGTTTACTTAAAAAAATAGTAAAAAAACAAAAACATAGTAAAGTACAAGCTGCACAAAAATAGCACAACACAATCCTCCATCTCGACTATGAAAGTTGAATCCTGTACAGAAGTGTCAAAGTTAGGGATACAAGCGTAGACAGAGAGACTGTATTCACTGCTGCCCAATCAGCATTGCCTGCTGTGTGAGTTTAAATGTAAAAGGTGGAGCATTATACAAATGTAGAAAAAAGATTAACAGTCAATTTGCTTAGTAACAATGTCAAAAAGTGAGAGTTTTCAGACCACATTCAACCATTCCTTTGAATTTAATTTTCACACCCAACCACACCTTCCCAGTCCATGATGCCCGTTGTTCCATCTGAAGCATACCAGCAGCTTGTAGAAGAAAAGAGGATGTCTTGGAAAAAGGGTGAAAGACAAGGCCGGCACAACAGTGATGGGAGGTGAGGATGAAGAGGGGGCGTGAAGGAGAGAAATGACTGCGGGAGAGAATGTGGGGGACAAGACGAAGGCAAAGTGGCAGTACAGAGGAAGAGGACAAGGTTGGAAATGCACATGAAAGGGGTGAGAGCACTGAGGAGGAAAAGGGGAAAGGGAGGTGGGAGAAGATAAAGAGTGGAGGAAAAAACACAAGGAAGACAACTGGAGGGGGAGTGAGCAGTAGTGGGTGAGGGAGCAGTCATAGAAGGAGAGAGAGAGAAAGAGAGAGAGAGCGCAGGGTGGGGGTTGTGGCTTCCCCTCTTGACTGCTATTGATTTTCTGTAAGCCTCAGAGTGCATCAGCTATTTCTATCCATTTCCTCCACCTCTCCCTCCCTTTCTCATCCCCCCCTCTCTACACTCAGCTCAGACACCCTCCTCGCACATCCTCCTCCTCCTCACACTCTCCATCACTTCATCACCATCCCTCCCTGCCACCGATCTATTTCCCTATCTGCCGGCCTGTCTCTCTCCCATATATTCCTGCTGCTTTATCTAACAGCATCCACATTTCCTTGCTTTCCTGAGATCGCACCATCTCTGCCCGTGATCTCCATCACCCTCTCTCTTCGAGTCTTTTCTCTATTAAACTACCTCTTCCTTTCCCGTGTCAAAACAGAGAAAGACCCGCGAAAGTGCGTCAATGGAGAGGGTTGTTGGATAGATAAGATGATAGATAAGTGACAGTCTTACTTAACAAATCACCAGCTCAACAGGAACAAATGGGGAAAATGGACAGAAACCTTGTTGACTGCTGCAGAACTTGTGCGAATTTACATAACATACAGGAAGTAAAGACAATATCAGCAGAGCATATGTGTAACGCACATATGCACGCATAATATAAACGCACCTCTCACATCACCCCGCCTCCTGAACACATGTCACAGCACACTTCACACCCTGGCGCAAAGCAGAGTCAAGTAACAAGCTGGCATACAGGCTTAAAATAGGAGTGCATGTAACGCCTGCCCAGCCATTACCTGCCTAACACTGCTTCACACAGACCTGGTGGCAAGTGTGTGT